ACTATCGCCTACTCTTATATCGAATTCCAACTGCCAAGGGATCTTTTACGTGCATTCCAATGTGTACACGGGACCTCGGTTTTTCGTCTCATGTCAGTCCCTGCGTACTGCATCACTGACAAGGGGGAACCACGCCGGAAAATCTGGATGAACTTTCTCGTCCAACGCTGGGATCGAACACCCGACCTCCAGGCTAGCGAGCCAGGGTCTTACCCACTTAGCCACGTGATCCCCGTATGTCCTCGATAAGGACCATCCACAAACGCACATACACACAAACAGGGGCGACAGCATAATACGTTCACATTATAAATGTGGAGAGAGAAAGAGAGAGAGAGAGAAATGGTGTTTAACGTCCACTCGACACAAACTAGGTCATTTCGGGACTAAAATATGGTTTAATTTTATTTCAATAATTCGCTTGCGCGTAGGGGTCTTTAGCAGTGGGAGAAAACCGGAGAAAACCCACGAGGTTGGACAGGCGACCCTACTCCTTGTCACGTACTATAAATGTGGACGTATAAAATGAATATATTGAAAATATGTGCGAAGTTATCGGTACTTACCTATTTTATCAAATTAAAATCGGTGTCATCCGATGGCACAGTGAGTTCATTATGTGTAAATAACAATTTATATAACATTTGAAGCCAGAAAAAAGACCTGCAGTAGATGGATTTAGCTCTTACATAATGCATCTAACTAAATGTTATTTTTATTTTTTTTTTTTTAAAATAACACTTGCCAACTATATATTATTAAAATATTGTATCCCATTCGCCTTCCCTTATATCGGAAATCCTGGATACACAACAGAAAAAATATTTACTCAGGCTGTTTTTTAAACGTTTTGAGGAACCTTTAAACAGGGTCGTCTTAAGAATATTAAAGCCCCCAGACAAGGCAATATACCGGTGTCCCCTAACTGCAATAGTTGTAGCCATGATAATTCTTATTCACAGCTACAATTGATACACTAGTCGAGGCTTTGAGAAAGTAAAATTAGGCTCAACTGCAAAATTTTAAACACATATCATCACAGTTTGCATGGAAAATTTTTTATTATGTTACAAATAGTGAAGAGTGGAACACTGAAATCTTAATCTTATCTTACTGAACAGTTTTTCTATATTTTCAAGTGACGTAAAATCACGTGATTCTGGTTCGATGGCCATTTTAAGATAATTATGTTACAAATAGTGAAGAGTGGAACACTGAAATCTTAATCTTATCTTACTGAACAGTTTTTCTATATTTTCAAGTGACGTAAAATCACGTGATTCTGGTTCGGCGGCCATTTTAAAATAAACATAAATTTCGCATAGCAGTTGGGTTTAATCAAATCATATAATTATGCGGTAAGGTTTTACCTTATTTCAATGGGAATTAGTTTATTATATGTTAAGCTATGTACAGTACAGTTTGGGGTCAGTGTAATTGGAAATTAAGAGAGTTACAGGCCAGTAACCATGTAGTCAAATGACTACAAAACTTGCTCGAAGGAAGGCTTAAGGAAGGTCCACTACTGTAGCTGAAGCAAGACGGAGCAAGAAATTTGATATTTTGGCGAAAATGCAAATGATGCATCCCACTGCTATTTATCAATAGATGTATAAACTTTAATTTGTATTTTCCATATTGAATCGGAGAGCCCGAGCAAATGTCGTGTATGCCCACAAGGACAGGTATCCCTGTCTTGAGCCATTTATTGACCCATATAAAATATAAATTGCGCACCTGCTTTCCAAGTCTTTTGCAAAATCTTTGATGCGAAACAAGTGATTTAATTTTATCTGGCCTAACGTAAGACTTTCAACAGAAAAGGGGTTGCACACTCGTTGGTCATCGAAATAATTTATCGTTTTAAAAAATACATGCGCATCAATCATGTTGTTTTAAATTTCTAAGAAACCATTAAAAATCTATAGGGAAAACATGTATTGACTTGTAACTAATGAATATCGTATTTAGTAGCGATTTAGACAAGTTTTTCTTTTTAGTTGTATTGGCTATTACTGGCGTCAATGTCTTGTAGTATGTTATTGCAAATCATAAACGATAGCGCAAATTTATTTTGGGATCACGGGCTTGCACCGACTGTTACTTTTATGAAATGTATCATATCAATATCAGATATAGACACCCTATTATTGGCAACGGATCACGTGCTAAAAGGGTCGTGATAATAGTAGACAAAACAAATATCGTTTATACTGTATTTATGACAATCTGGTTTCCGTTTTTGATCAAATACCACATTATTCATACGTGGGAGCAATATTTTCTTTTTCTAAGATTCTATTAATTGCTCTTAGAAATCATTAATTAGACAGTTGACGGACATATAGCCAACTATTTTAAGAAAACAATAGAATTCGTTATCGCCTTAGGTATTTTTCACATTATATTCGAGAATCAATATGGTTTAAAGTTAGCAATGACTAATAATATTAAGTACAACTTGTTGGCTGACAATAACAATCGTTATGATAATATGTTACAAGTGTTTTGAGTTAGATTTACAGTGGAAACGGCTAATCATTTTATTATGCTGACTAGTATGACGCCCCAACAAATGAAAACAACACCTAAAGTAATCAGATTTAGTCAAACTGGTGACTCGCTTTCTAAACACCAAGAACAATGACCTACAAATCACGGGAGATTAAATGCGGGGGCTAGAACTGTATTTTTCAGATACCACCAACACCGTTTAATCGGTTAACGGAAAATCGAGAATTGGTTTATTATCGTAGCAATGATAATCGAGACATTCTATTCTTGTCAAAATTACAACCTCATAACTTCACTCAGAATAAAGTAATTTGACTGAAATTTTCAATATTATATTAATTTTTTATTATCTATTTTTTTAACTATATTATATTGTGAAAACGACCATCCATCTCTTTTATCTAAATCTTATATAATACATCTTTAAGCACCACTACCACACCTCAAATGAGAATAGCGACGTTGTTGGCTTTCGGAATCCATTGGGAATGGGAGATGGCAGTGTCAATTTTTCCTTGCGATATATGAAATGAATGAAAATTTCGGCACGAATGTTTGTCACACAATCGGCAGGGATATTCTCGGTCACATTTGAGCCAATCAAATACCGTTATATGGTGGTATTCGGATGAACAAGGCATTAAATATTGAATGTAACAACCGGGGGGTGGGGGGGCATTGAGATTAACTTATGATATATTTCGCCCAGGGATCTTTAGAAGTGTGTGTGGGGGTGGGGGGGGGGACAGTTTGGATTGACTCCCGGCTTGTGTTTGCTCCTGGGCACTTGCGTATGTCCGAAACTATTGTTTACTATAGCAACAGAACTATACTTACTCCCGGCAGCATGCAATGGTCTCTGAACGGTTCTGATTCCCCCTTAGAGTTTTGTCATTTGTTATCGTGATTAGCTGTTGTTTTAGTAATCAGCAGTTGCGCGATCAACCGATATACCATGCTTGGCTTCAAATTGATACTTCTAGCGTTCGTCATTGTTGCTGTTGTTTTACACGATCAGTGGAAACCTTACAAATTGGTTCATTCAGAATCTTTTTAAAAAAATCATTGAAAGGCCTTGGATGTGGTTTAGTGTCCTGAAAAGTACTTTAATTTCTTGAAAATGTCCTAAAATCTCGTTTTTCTTTGCAACAAAAAAAATGAGGCAGTCGTTCTTGTCATAAAAAACTTCGTTTTCATCTATACTCCAAACTACTATCATGTATTCATAAACCTTTGTTTATGTTTTGCACATATTTTCTTAATATCATCCACTTTTTATGTATTTTAGATCCGTGATATTATGTCGTAATACAATGTATAATTTACATATGCAGTCTGAATAGGTTGTTTTATGGAAGGGTATCACTGCCAATATTAAATGCTCTACTACAATGTCTTTTCCATTCATTATATGTAAAAAGTACAATGTACAAAGTCTTAATACCGGTAATGATAAAGTCAAAATACCTCTAAGGCAAGAGTTAAATGTAAAACGTCAAATGTTAAGTGTCAAATGACAAATGTTTTGTGGGAAAATGCTTTTATTGACGTGTCTACATTTGACATTTCTCACATTACATTTTACATTTGCGCTTTTCCACATCTCATATGTCCTTAACGATTTCGACATAGCATCTTTCGCACAGCATCATCTTTTAAATGCAAATGTAGGATATCGCCGAAGCATGCGCCCGAATGTAGAATTCATTAGTCAATCACCACTCTTCATTCACTCATATCGAGAAGTCGCGTGTTTGTTTGAAGACATAGATGCTGCCATGTTTAATCATGTGATGTAAAAGATGATGCAATCGACTGGTGAATCGGACAAAGCATTCGCCTAGTGTCCACCCATATAGCTGAATAAAATTTGGCGCCGATTGATTCGGCTAATGTGTCCACCACTTAACATATAAACGGTTTTGTATAAATTTCAAGTCACTGCAGTCAAGGGCAAAAAATTGACAAATTGATTTCAAATTATAACTCACCTGATATGTCATTAATAACAATACAAGAAACAGTACAAAATCAGCAGTGGTATCAGATGTTCTCGAAAGACGATTTTGTCTCTTTGGATATGCAAATGGAAATGCTTATCAAAAATGAAATGAAATTGTGTTTAACGTTCTGGGCTAATGAAGACAAGCATACGCCATACAGTGTGCTATGAGAAAAATTTTGCCCGGGCAGCGGCACTCTGGCCTACTCTTATATTAAATTCCAACTGTCAAGGGATCTTTTACGTCAAGGCCAATGGCCAATGTATACACGGGACCTTGGTTTTTTTCTCCCATCCGAACGACTAGACAGCTGTCCTTATCAGGCCCTTCGTCCTGCACCACTGACAAGGGGAAACCACGTCGGAAAATCCCGATGAACTTTCTCGGCCAATGCAGGGATCAAACATGCGACCTCCAGACTAGTGAGCCAGCGTCTTACCCACTTAGCCACCCCACATGCTTGCTTATCAAACCAGGCAAGTGTTTATCTAATATACAGTTTATTGTAATATTATTTGTTTACAAACAGAATGATGTTGATGAATAAGGTAAACAAATGATTATATGACATTAATTAAAGATACATTATGGGAGATTAGATAAAGAGCTGGCAGTTCTCACTATAATAGTTAAAAACTAGATAATGTAAAGGGAATTTGCTGAAAATTTCAGTCAAATTGATCCACTCTGAACCAAGATTTTAGCGATTGAATTTTCGGCCTAGCTTCGATCATCATTACTAAAGTTGGTACGATAAAAAACATTATCCATTTCGTGATTAAATCTGGAATGGAAGTCGAACCACAAATTGGAATCTAAGGCTAGCGATGACATCGAGAGTTGATTATTGTCTGGATAAGTTAATTAATGTCTAATTAATAATTCAGATAACATTTGAGGCCTAAAGAAAGACCTGTAATAGCTCTTGCATAATGTATGTTTAATGACACTGACTGGCCTACAGATGTTACAAGACTTTGTTTATTTTCTAACTTTTTTCTCATTAATATATAGATCGTTAACGACTCGAGCCAAATAACACACATGACACAGCTCTTTTATTTTAGATACCACACACAAAACTGTTTTTAGTTACCAGTATATTTGGCATCAAAAATGATTTTATATTTCCCCAAAGGTCCAAGACAAAAACTTAGGAATCTTTCTTTTTTTTTGCTTTTAATAATTTTAAATTACATTTTTTTACTATTTATACAAACCTTAAATTTAAGAATGAAGTTTCATAATTAGATGAGTTTATAATACACTGTCATGAGCAGATATAGATCCTATTTGTTTTAGGATATTAGATACTTTCATGGAAAATACCTAAGTGTACAGATACTATTAATTACTAATAACATTGCTGAAGTTGAAAAAAGTCATTGAAAATATATAGCCACGTTAAAATAACAAATAACTATTTGTTAAAAAGAAAATTCGTGACATTCAGCAATGTTTTATATAAGCTATTTATTGTAAATCTCCTTCTAAATATGGCTTTTAATATTTCCAAAAAGTAGATGTAGGGTGGCCGTCAACGACCCTTAATCTTCATACACGAACTAAATCAATGAAAATATCAGAATATTTTTTTTTACTCCTATATAGAATGTTATCTTACTGTTTTGATCATACTTCCTTATTACTGAAACTAAATTGTATAAGTACAGCTGTCCCACTCTTTTGTATGAACAAGTTAAGTTCCCAGAACAATGTGGGTTGAGATGAATAAATTGAGTGGCAATAGGCTAATTCACTGGTTATAACATATTTTTGCACATGAAAATCAAGCTGGATTTACTATTTCACTGTTATATATACAACGTTTGTATTAATTTAATCACTATCTTCATGACCTGATGAACCACTTTTAGCTGGTGATTTTGGGGATCCTGCACCTGATTCATTGTCCGAACCTTTTCTTGATCTTTCCTCTGAATTTCTACTTTCTCTTGATTTATTAGAGGCATTTGACCCTCCGGATCTATTTGATCCCCCTGACCTATGTGATGCAGCAGATTTAACACTTCCAGCATCACTTTCATTATCAGACCCTTTTTTTGAACCACGATCTGAGCCTGACCTTGAACGAGACCTTGACCTTGAACGAGACCTTGACCTTGAACGAGACCTTGATCTTGAACGAGACCTTGATTTTGAACGGGATCTTGATTTTGATCTACCTCTGTCTGATCCTGAACCAGAGCCTCTATTTGAACCTGAACCTGACCGGGAACCTGATCTGGATCTTGATCGGGACTTTCTGTCGTTATCTGATCCAGATTTTGCAGCTGCACCCCCATCACTTTCACTGCTTGATGATCCAATACGACGCCGTTTCTTACCGCCACCTTCATTCCCACTACCACTGGCCCTGATAAAACAAATATTCAACACTAATTAGTAAACATTGACAGTCTATAAAGGAATATACTCCATAAACATTGGCAAAGTTAATCCAAAGCTGTAGGACATTTGGCAAACCAAATTTTTGGGAGTTAACAAAAATATTGCCCACACAAATTCCCTTCGAACTAGCTCAATTGTCAAATATGGGCAAATTGCATTTGATTTTTTTCCCAAATATCTGATGGAATAGCTAATCATATGTATGTGCACCACAAAGAAATCACAAAAGACCTTTGTACACACAGCAGCTGAAGTGTTAAATCCAATACCCTGAATGTACAACTTCCAGTGGCTTAGCACACCATAACATAATGATTTGCAAGTGCTTCAGAACAATCTGAAAAGGTTTTGATATTTTAATATCATTGAATCTTACCCTTCATCATCATCAATTCTGAGTTTTTCACCTTCAGATCCTGATCCAGAACTGGAAGAAATAAAGGCTTTGGAAACAATCTTCTTTCTTTGTTTAGCAGACAGTCCTTCATCAACTTCCTCAGCTTTCTGTTTCCTCTTTTTATCCATCTTTTCTTTTAATGATCGAGGTTTCTTTCTCTTCCTGTCTTTCTTCCTACCACCATCTTCATCATCAGTATCAGACATATCTTTCTTAGATCTGTAATTAAACAGGTAGGATGTAATAACTCATCATGCGTGAATATATCATACTCTTGGAGCTTAATCTACTATTAAGTTCTGCCAAATTCGGACAGTTATGCAAATTGTATATGCGAATTCCTCACAGGGTAATATTTGAAATAATAATTTTTGGGATGAGCTTATAAGTCTCAAACGAACATGCGAGGGAGAGAAATGTTATTTCAGTTTCAAGTCAACACAAAATATGTCATTTTATGATTAACATATTATGGATAATATTTTTTATATAACTGGCTTGAGTTCATGTAGCAATATTGAGCTGTCGGAAGTACACTCAGCCTCTCCAATACCTCAAAGAAACATATATTTAAAGACTCTATGCATGATTTTAGCCCTAAAGAATCCCTTGCAAACTACAATAGTGTTAAAGTTGAATCTCTAATAGGAATATCAAGTCAAAAAATGGCTCAATTCCATTGATCTATGCGGCTCCATATGTAACAAGACCGCTATCATCTTCACATTCAATTTTTATTTTGTTTTCTTAATTGAACGTTAAATAATCAATCTGAATGCATATAAGCTGGGATTAAGCTAAGAGAAATTTGATAGTTTTTCCCATAAATGCAAATCACGCACAACATACCGTCTCTTCTTCTTCCTTTTCTTCTTTCCACCACCATCTTCATTATCATCTTCATCATCATCAGTACTGGGCTTTCTTTTCTTCTTCTTTCTTCTAGGTAATTCTTCTCCACTACCCTCTGATATAATATCATCATCACCACCCCGTTTCTTTTTACCAGATTTTTTAGGTCTCTCATTTTCTGGTTCTAAAGACATTTTTTTGGCTTTTTCTACAATAACAGCTCTCTGTTCTAACAAACGTTTCTCAAATTCTTTCTTCTGTCTTTGTTTTTCAGTCTGTAAAGCAAATATGTTTTTTGACAAGAATTATATTCAGTTACAGACCTCTTACCCTACACTTGTATCTAGCATTATAGAAATGAAATGAAATTGGGTTTACGTCCTACTGTTTTGCTCCTAAACTGTGCTAATGAAGACGGGCATACGCCAAACAGTGTGCTATGAAGGACATTTTGCCCGGGCAGCGGCACTACGGCCTACTCTTATATCGAATTCCAACTGCCAATGGATCTTTTACGTGCACGCCAATTTGTACACGGGGCCTTGGTTTTTCGTCCCATCCGAACGACTAGACAGCTGTCCTTGTCAGGCCCTCCGTCCTGCATCACTGACAAGGGGAAACCGGAAAATTTGGATGAACTTTCTTTGCCAATGCAGGGATCGAACACCCGACCTCCAGGCTAGCGAGCCAGCGTCTTACCCACTTAGCCACGTGATCCCCATCTAGCATTATACTCAGGGTGAAAAATAAGCTGTGATTTGAAACAGAAGCCAATGTAAACAGATAAAGATATTCAAATAGTTTTTCTAGATTGGCTTTTGGTTTAACTTTATTGCTTTGCAATCATTCAGCATGAATTTACAAACACAACAAAATTAACAACTCATGGAGGCCACACAACAAAATTAACAACTCATGGAGGCCACAAAAACTGTATTTTACACAGGGGGCACAAGGGATAAAAGAATTGGTCCAATGTAAGAAGGTTGTATGGCATGCAGTAGGGATGAGCATAGTCCGCGAAAAGTGTTGGCACCAACGATTCCAAGTGGACCCCTCACAGCAACAGTAGTATGTAAAGCTGGCAGTGTGCGATCATGCAGATGTTGCAGGATAACATCAAGGCATTGTCACATATTGCTGCCCAAACCTTGGTCGATTTTGAATGTGCTCTGTCTGTGGATCACCATTGACCAGTCTCATAATGATAGTGTGATGGCTGACACTCTGGAACTCGTGCCATCTTGTTTAATTGTGTGTGTTTTCGTTGAGTCTCAGTAAATAATGAAATATAAGTTTTGGTTTAAATTTTACCTGTTCTTCTTGGTATTTCTGTCGTAATTTTTCTTTATCTTCTTCCTGTTTCTTTCTTATCTCTCTCTCTTCTTCATCTATCTTACGTGCTCTAGCTACATGATACTGAGCCTGACTTAATAAATCTGAACATTGTCTGTTATAAACAAAACACAATAATAAGAAGCAATTTGTAACCTTGGTTATTTCAAAATATTAATATTGAGAATTTTATCTAATGTTATTCATATTACGTGTTTCATATGTTTTTTTAGATGTCTTTTATTGATGTCTTTGAAATATTATACAAAAGGGGTTGGGGTTATTTAAATAACAATAAAACCTAGAAATAACAATACTGTGGTCAATCCGATACTAAATAAGCTTAGTATGTACAATGGCACAACTTCTATAATAGGTTGATGTGACCACAAAGTTCCATAAAGATATCTTGAACAGTTATATACCACTAATAAAACTTGGGGCATAGAATCAGCCCATTTCAATATTAACATAGGATAAAAAATAATGATGGTTCTTGTTGGCAGAGGCTGTGATTTGAGCCACAATCAATCTAATAGTTGTATGTACCTTTATGTACATGTGTAAAATATGAACTATACCTTGCTTCTGCTGCAGCTTGATTTAAATCATACTTCATTCTATCTCCATGTTGACTTAGATAACTAAAATATCTGAAAACACATACAACAAAACACTAATTACAATAAGTTACGATGAACATAAAGATAGGTTGCCAAAAAACAACACATATACCCCACAGCAGCAGTGCATAAAAGTTTATTCTTTTGTAAGAAATGGGAGAATTACATTCAAGAGTAGTAGTAACCATAAAGTATTTATCAGAAGTAATTAAAATTTGTTTGGCTTCTAGTACTACCTAGTGCCAAAATTGCACCAGTAATCAGTTGATAATCAAGTCCAATCAACATAATCACTGTGTATAAATCTAAAGTCAAAATAGCTTTTAGAGTGCCAACAAGCAATTAAAGGAGGACAGATGGACAGGGGTGACGACAAACGAATCAATTAAATTTTGGTATGTAACCAAATTAACCACAAGGAATAATATTACAATAAAAAAACAAGTTTCAATATATTTAATATCCTCTGCACATTTCTTACAACACTTAAAGATGTCTCTTCAAAATAACCAGTCTATCAGTACTACGACTTTTGTTTGCTTCAAAGTACAACACGCTTTACACAGGACCACAGTATATCATCCGATACAATAAACTAGACACACTTTATTTTTCAGCTCTAATTAAACCCTGAAAAGTGCAAACTAAACTTATAAATGATGGGGCTTAATACTCAGCTGAAACTGGAATTAGGACATCAAACATTCTAGCCACTGCCACTCGAACAAATAAAGATCATCAAACAGAAGGTGTATATATCAATGGATGATTTTACCTGTGAGCTAGTTCTAGAGTATCTGGGGCCTATTAATGGATGTTTTTACCTGTGAGCTAATTCTAGATGTCTAACAGAAGGAGTATATATTAATGGATGTTTTTACCTGTGAGCTAATTCAAGATCTCTAACAGCTGTTAATACTGTCTTTAAATTACTTTTCTCATCTTTTAAGATAGAAGTAGCCAGTTTTTGTTGTACCAGAGCTATATTATATAATAATACTGTATCGTGTGGCGATACATGTCGGGCCTGTTGATAGAAATAATATCACGTCTTATTAAACTAACCAACAACACAGGTGTTAATCTTACCAGTGTATTGTCAACACTTTTGTTTTAAAAAAGCAATGTTATCATTAATTTATAAAAACCAACCACCTCCAACCTTAGCACAAGAGTTAAAACATGCTATACTGCGGTGATACGCAAGCCTATTGAATGAAATGAAATGGGGTTTAACGCCCTACTGTTCTGCTCCTAAACTGGGCTAATGAAGACAGGCATACGCCATACAGTGTGCTATAAGGGAAATTTTTCCTGGGCAGGGGCACTACGGCCTACACTTATATCGAATTCCAACTGCCAAGGGATCTTTTACGTGCACACCAATATGTACACGGGACCTCTGTTTTCCGTCCCATCCGAACGACTAGATAGCTGTCCTTGTCAGGCCCTCCGTCCTGCATCACTGACAAGGGGAAACCACGCCGGAAAATCTGGATGAAACAATGTTTGAAAGCTCTAATTCTTAAATTGGTAGGCTACCTACATAAGGTTTGTTTACTGTTGTAATATAGCAGCCTGTTGCGGCCATTTTATAATCTCAACTTCTCACAGGGAGACACTGAGGAGTCGGGAACGAGAAGGCAAGGATTTATGATGACAAATTATTCTAGCTTGTATAAATGACTTATTACCGCTTTAATCAAATCCCAACAGGAAGGATATATTTTAAGTGCTAACTTAATGGCTCTAGTAATGTATACAATGATAGGTAGTACAATCCCAATTCTAAATAGACACCATTCCTTTCCAGGTCTGTAACAAACTAGCTAAGAAGAACCTTCAAGAATTTCAAGAATGGTCTTCAGTTGTTGGATGATGGGCACATCTGCGAGGCGTTCAGATAGGACACAATTTCAAGGTCCACCAATGTGTCTGAGTATATGCAAAAGAACCCTTAACAGTTGGAAATTGATGAAGAGGGGCCGAAAAAAAAACGCCACTGTCTTGGCAGAATTATCTAACCCCGTATTGCAAAATTATCATATGCATGTTTAATCAAGACAAATGTAGGCAAAAATTACCAACACAATATTCATTAGGTAAAGTGCAACTAATACATTTAGCCATGTGAAATAACCACTAGGAATATCATTTCTCACTGGAGTAGTCACAAAACCAATACTTCATGTAATGGTTATGATAATGATCTAATCTTACCTTCAAGAGAACTGTTTTACATTCTTGTAATTTACCACATCTAAAATATGCTCTAGCTAAATACAACATAACATCTTCATTATGATTCTTGAAAAACTTCTTTAAACAATTTTCATACTGTAATACATAAAAATAATACACTGGCATTTAGTCACAATAACCAACTTAAAAGTTAAAATAGTCGGAGAAAACTATAAATCTTTTTTGGCTTTTGTAAATTTAATTTTGTAAGTGTCTGTTTCTGATCTAACATCTTACATACATGTGTTTTTGCACAAATTTTCCTGTTTCTGTGTTCTTGCCATGTTGGATAGTACCTGACTATACGTGCATAATAATAACTATTATTGTTGTACTCTGACAGAGATAGATATATGAAGTCTGTAAGGTAGATTAAATGAAGACAGCCATACCCCATGGAGGATACTATGAGGGAAATTTTGCCCTGGCAGCAGCGCTATTGTCTACTCTTATTTCGAATGCCAACTGTCAAGTTTTTTTTTCACTTGCACGACAATGTGTACACGGACTTCTTTTTATCCATTCCATTCGAACGACTAGACACTATCCTTTCCATGCCTTCTGTCCTGCACCACTGACAGGAGAAACTATGCAGGAAATTCCAGAGGAAATATTTCGGTTAACACCTGGAGCGAACCAGAGACCTCCTGATTAGCGAGACAGCATCTTACTCACTGAGCCACTGGGGGCTCTGTCGATGAAATGACTTAGAACCTATCTACAGTACCTGTTTTATAACTAGCAAGGACAAAAATAGAAATCAAATAAACAAACCATCTGAACGGCAGCCACATATTGTTTTTGTTCAACGTAGATATGTGCAATGTTTAACCACACATCACAGAAATCAGCTGTGGCCTCTCTAACCTGGGCAAATACATCTCTACCTTCACCAATACATCCTTTATGTGCCAATACACAACCTGATAAAATACAGATATTTAAATACTTAAATGTTTTTACCCGTCTTAGGTCTTTTTATTAAGTAAAATGTTCAATTTAGGAATTTACCTCCTCAAAGTTGTCTGGATGAAATGAAACCCTTTCTACACACAAAATACAAAGTTTGTGGAAAAGAAATAACCAGGCACATTAGCAAAGCGATGTTGGTATCCCCTAAATTCACACAAACAAAAACTGTTACAAATGCCCATAAAATTGTGGATGTCATATTTCTTAAAAACAGATTACAATTTACAGCCAACTGTGATGTATTTTCATATAAAGGAAGTATTTAATTTGGAAAATTGTGTAATTTTTTTATTATTATTACAAAATCGGATCATGTATTTCTATTGATGGAGTTTTGTCTTAAAATAAACCAATACAGACACCTTCTTAATTCGTTAATATCTAAAATATAATGGTAGATAATTTACCAATGCCATTAGCCGCCCATATATTTCTATCATCATTACGTAAAACTTGTTTATACATGGCTAAAGCTCGATCTTGATGTCTTTTTTCCTGAAATAATTTGTAATCTGTATTAAGAAAAACTGAATAAAGCATTGAAATGGCTATTAAATCAAATACATTTATTGCAGGTAAACAAAATATCCATGACTAAACTTATCAAACAACAACAAGAATATGGTATTAATAAGGCTGCAAAAAAAAAAACAAGTAACAGAAACCGAGCATGACATCATCACCACCATTTGGTGACATCATATCAAAGAAGAACAAGATGAGTAGCGCTCCTGCACAAATCGATATAGAGATATACATTTCTTCCAAGCCACAATTACAAATTTGATTATTGCTGTTGATTAGAAGTATCATTTTTTCAGATACCAGCGGTTGTCTCAATGACAGATCTTATGATACAACCCCCCTTATTTGCGTACCAAGAGAGGCTATTTTTTGTCGGGAAATTTCAATTTTCCCCAAATTCAACCTCAACCTTCATTACGTTGTAAAGGTGATATAATTAAACTGTTTTTAAAATCAGAAAAAAATTGTGACCTCTAGAGTGTCCGCAAGTTAAAAACGTGATTTTTCATACAATCAGGGGTCATAATCCAAGAAGTTATGGTCCAATATGCGCGAATATCAAACAGAACTTGAATCCAAAATGTGACATCTATAGTGTCCACAAGCTAAAAACATGATTTTTTGTACAATCAGGGGCCATAATCCATGAAACTACAGTCCAATAGATGCCAATATCGAACGTAACCAAGTTTCGTCAAATTATCTTTAAAGACCCAGAAAACCCAAGGAAATGCCAGCTACAAAGTTATAAAGATATATATACCTTGGCTTTATCTTTCATTGGTTGATGTAGAGTCTGTAACCACACATTACCTAGAGCTATTAAAGAATAAGCATCATCTTTAGTACCAGGTCTTTGTAAAATTCTCTCAAATTTCTTCTGTCCTGGTCCCCATTCATGTTTTACTAAATGCAGATTACCAATCAGTGACCAAGCATCTGGATGATCCTAAAAAATAAATTCAAAAATAAACCTTATTAACACAGCTCTCAGACCATACAGACTAAAAAAAAGCAGTCTTAAAGATGCATTATGTAAGATTCAGATAAAAAGCTGACTTCAAAACCAGCGGTTGCCAGGCAAGATCTTTTGCAGGAGATGGATAGAGAACAAGCTAAACAAAAATGGGATTTTTTGTACAATCAAGGACTATAATCCAGGAAGTTACGATCAGATATGTGCAAATAGCGAAAGGAACAGAGATCTTTGGTACTTAAACATATATTTTAAGTTTTATCAAAATCTGATAAAAATTGTGACTTCTAGAGGGTCCACAAACAGATTGTGGACAGACAGGAGCGACAGGATAATATGTCCACATAAAAATGTGGGTGTATAAAAAGATAATGAAAGATAAATATAATGAAAATTTCAAATTACTTTACTCAGAGTGAAGTTATGAGTGTTTAATGTTCAGACAAGATAATTTAACACGTTTTTTTGTTTAATCATTTAATTTACCTTCTTTCAAAAGCTTTCTAGCAACCTCTTATAAAATTAATTTTCAATAAATAAAATGGTTATTTGTGTTCTGCCATTAATCAGTTGATTTTTTATTAATTTATAGCATTACAGCATAGGTCTAAAAATTTATATGATTTTCAATTTTAATAGCTTGTATTTTGTTAGCAATTCAAAATACTTCTGACATCAAATGATAATTATTAAACAAATCTACCTGATTTATCTGTAAGGCTTCTTTAAACCAATCAGAAGCTTCATAAATCTGACCTCTATCTCGTGCCATACAGCCCAGTCTTAAATAACCTGTAAGAAATATTATCGGTAAATAAATACAAGAATCTATCAAAAGAAAACATTATAATTTTCTAGGTAATGGCTTTTGAGATACCATCTTGGAATCTTAATTTCATTTATCAAATAACACAGGAAATACTTTATAACTATTTCAAAATTAACTTTATATTTTCAGAAATAAATTGAAAGTTGATCCTTTCACTAGTGCAAAATATATTCTATCCCTTATGCAAAACAGCCATTGAATTTAATGCTATGCTAGGTTCCCACTATCACCATTCGTGCTACAATTGAAATCGTGGTGATCCTATCAGTTCTTATCATATATTAAAGTCAGTTGTGGCAAACGTGTTGGCCGTTTCGAAAAGTATCCGAACGTATCTGTAAGCAGATCATGGACTCAATGGAGACAATCGTATCGTAACGCATCGAACGACAGTGGGAACCTTGCATTAACAAAAAATACTCTTTTACAATACACTCTTTGTATGTCTTGAAAAATCCTCAGGAAGTTTTAGTACCCTTCATGTCTGACCTATCTACAAAATTATTCTTAAACTTGTCATTGAGAATACATTATATATTAATAAATTTGTTTCTGGTTGTTTATATCAATACAGATAGCAAACAGATACAGTAGGTAAATATTTTAAATAAACATACAATCAACGTAATTAGGATGATCTCTAAGAATAGTTCTGTATAATTTGTCAGCCTTATCAAATTCATTTAATGATTCATACAATCTAGCTAGATTATAAGTTGTAGTAACAGATATAGCACTATAATACGTCTCATCATGTTGGGCTTCATTCTTTGATCTCTCCAAAGATGCTTCATAATATTTCTACAAAATACCATAAACAATAGTTTAGACAAAGCAATTATAAACACAAACAGCAAAAAAATAAATCTTAACATCTTCTTACGTTCAGTACCACATTAATTATATGAGCAGTGCTAAAACAAAATTTTTGGTTTCCCGTTGATTTGACTATGCAGTTATATTGGTTGTGTTCATATTAGATAATCCATCGCCAACCAACATATTTTTATTTAAACAATATTTTTACTCAGTAAATATCTGAATTTGAATTGGGGAACATGTGGCTAAGCCTAGAGAAACCTTTCTTCAGTCCTGCACATTGAAGTCTATACTGGTTTTCAAGTTCAACAAAATCTAGTGAAAAATGATTTTCTCCATGTAGGGTTGTCCTTGATAATTAGGAGTGCTAGTGTTTATTTTGAATATGATATTGTACAAAACCAATTAAATTTATTTTCTTATAATAAAACTGATAAGGTTTCTTTAACTGATCTAATAAAGTTTAATTAACATAAAGTCATCTGAAACAGTAAAAGGTTGGGTTGACATTGTGCAGAAAGAGAAATCCAGGAATTTGCCATGCCGTAAAACAACAACATGACATTACAATATATGGCTAGTCTGGGGTATGTTTTCAGAATTGATGCTTTTGAATCCAAGTCTTGGTAACTAACCTTAGCTTCCTGATAATTTCCCAGTCTAAAATGTAAAGCTGCTACATTATTGAGAATCTCCGGTGGAACATCAGCTTGTACCTTCTCCTTTAATATTCTTGTAGCTGTACCATAGGCTGATAAAGCTCCCTGATAAAATATTTTATGTCAAATAGAAGTTATTGCAATACATTGCATCATGGCTAAAAAAGTCCATACCCACTATATTGGCATTAATTTTATAATATAATTATTTTAATGAAACCTGTAAATTGAGAATAATCTCAATTGAGGGTAGGCATGTAGAAATGCTGCCAAAAATCAGTCAAGCCTGTGTAATAAGTAACAATGAATGATTACAATTTATTAATAATATTATTTTAGTCTACATGCTATATACTATACCTGAACATCAGTTTGTTCAAGAATCTGTGCCAATTCAATCCAAGCTTCCACATCATCAGGAAACTGTTCTGTTACTTTCTTTAAATGTTGCTGTTATAATATAAGTTAATAATTGCTTTTAATAGATATAAGTAATTTCAACTATTCAAAATAAATCTTGACAATTATCTTTAAATCTAATCAAAATATTCTTGGCTTAAGATAATATTATATTTTACAACGATTGTTGCCCAAAGATCAACCAACCATAGGACATGTGTTCAATATGGTTGCACTGTAGGTATTCAAAAATTGGATGCCAAATGTTATGTTGTGATGTTACAGGCCAGTGTGTATAAGTTGCATGAGTAATAATCACCTTGGCTGTGTCTCTTTTATCTGCTTCAAGTGAATTAGAATAAAGGGAACCTAAGATCTTCATGGTTTCATAATTTCCTGGCTGGGCTTTTAATACTCTTTCAAAACATTGTGATGCCTGCAAACAAAACAATATTATAATGATTCTTACCGCTATATTTACTTAATGTTGACCATCTTAAATTATCATTGCAACTACCATACAAATGTAGAATGAATAAAATGGGGATTATTATCAGCATCAATCTGACTAATGAAGGAAGGGCATGTGCCATGACGTGTGCTTTTTGAGAAATTTTGTCTGATCAGCAGCGCAATAGCCTGCTCTTATTTCAATTTCCAACTGTTCATGGATATTTAACCTCCAGCCAATGATATACACAGCCCGACATTTGGTTATCATGATTTCTTGACTATGGTCGAACTAACTGAATCCGAATTTCATTTAGTCTGGGGACCCTAGTCTGAAAATACTGAACCATGCTACTAAGACATGGACGGAGTGGTACCAGGATGGCAGGTGTCGATGAAACTTAAGTGTACGATATTTAAAAAGAATGTATTTTTGTTTTGCATATGATTTTAGGAAAGCTTAAAAGAATTTTAAATGGTTGCTACTTCTATGAGCAGATATATTTTGTCTCGTATCATATGTCTGAATCTATGTAAGTCTAAAAATTACACATTATTTAAATATTTGTGCCATGTAAAAAGTAAAGTCAAATTACATGGAATTTTGTCAATGGGGGCAGCCATCTTCTAATAGATGATGGTTCGGATCATCTGCGTTCGGTTTCTAGTTCAGACACATTTACTTATCACGTCCCACGTCCTTTACCACCTACACAGGAAAACCTGGCTGGAAAATCCTGAGGAACTTTCCAAGCCTAGAACTCGGAATTTTAAAATTCAAGTTCAAGTATAAAGGAAATGAAATGGGGGTTAACGTCCTACTGTTCTGCTCCAAATGGGCTAACAAGCATAAAGGAGATAAGTATCTAAATTCCACCTCAACAGATACTTTAACTTTAATTTTAAATAACGATTCTGAGATCACATGTTCAATATCATAACCAGATGAAAGCTGCTCCATATAAATTTTCCTCTTAATGTTATGATACGGTTCACAGGAAATAAAGCAGATCTTTACAAAACAGATTTTGAGAGCTATACTCACATTTTCATTATCACCTCTGTAGATATACATCTGACCTAGACCAAAATATGGCAGTACAAAATTCTGTGGTGCAAACTGTGTTGATTGATAATAGTACTGAAAGGCTTGATCATAGTCACACTAAAAATTAAAATACACAAAATCGGAATTTGTACATAGATAGATGTAACACTACACAAGACAAATTTATTAATTCATTAATAATTGATATTCATGCCATCCTTATTTTCTTTTTAACTTGAATAACGCTCAAACTGAGGTTGGGAGCAGCTTGAGAATATCTTCATAGTCTAAACACTTTACATCAAAAGCAAGATTTTTGTTAACCACACTTTACTTAGGTAACTATATACCAGTAAATTTTGATTCAGACATGATTTTTGAAGGGTAAGTGTCTGAACACAAAATTTCCCTTAAAAATTTCAACAAACAGATTTTATTATGAACTAAAGCTTCGCTTTACTAAAAAGTAAGAGAACAAGACATTATCAACATAAATATTGTTTTGTTACCTGAACATGAAAAGCTCTAGCTAGTTGGTAACAACTCTCAGCTCTCATAGCTTCATTCTCTGTATTGTGAAAAGCATGAAGAGCTAAATGCTGAACTTTCTGATAATCCTGTTTAATACAACAAATTTATTATAATTAATTAACTCAACATATTAGAAATTAATTTAAAAGTACTAATACTATGTGCTATGCAAAAATAAATAATCTTTTAAAATAAAATGAGATTGAATGTGTTAACAAGAATGTGTTATCAAAAGTTTCAGAAATCCAAATTATACCGATAGGTTGCCAGGCAATGAAACATAGGCCTACAGCAGATAAGTGTTGTCCGAAATCCTCACATAAAAACTGTATTAATTTCAAATCAATCGGAAAGAAACCTTTAAGCACTAGATGGTCCACAAGATTTTTTTATTTTTTTTAAGTAATTCTAAGCTTCTTCATTTCATGAACATAAACACTGTGTGGCACTCAAAAAATAACTTTATAATCTTGATCACCCACAAGTTTTTTCAAAGTGATGAATGGTCAAAACTCTGACAGTAGTTATAGGAAATCTTGAAAAAATTAGGCATCATCCTCTCATGACTGTAAACAATGTGTATAAATTTAAAGTTTTGTGAAAAAGTCAACCAGATATTAATGTTAGATTCTAGTGTTTGTGGATGACAAACGGACAACACTATACAACCGCATTGAAATGTGGTCGTGTAAAACAACAATCTGACAAGACCTCAATCTCAGTTAGCATTGGCATTCTTTTCTATTAATATAACAGCCTTGGTTACATAGTATTTAACCCCAGGTCTATGTCTAACAAGTATAACTATCAACTCTGCATGCTTTTCCTGGCCAGACGAAAACATTCTTCTTGACCCTGATGCACCTAGAACTATCTAACTATTTTTGAAATTTCTTTAAGCTATCTTATTATTCCTGTTCATTTACAAACCTTTTTATAAAAGAAGTGATTAGCCAAATGATTTAGCACCATGGGGTTAGTAGAATCTATTGTGTAAGCTTTAGACAACAGTTGTACTCCATTTTTAATGGCATCCTGTTTCTTTGAATTAAGTTCCAAAATGGCTAATCCAACCAAAGCCCCCACACATTGAGGATCTAACTGTAAGGCTCTTTCAAAAGCCATTCTGAAACAGAGCATATAAAATATTTTCAATAAATTTCATATCAGATTATGAAATATTCATATAGTTTACTGCCATACACAATCAAAAGAAATTTCATTAAATAAAACGATTATTCCTATCGATCAATTCAAATATTTATGTTATGGTCCTTTATTTAATGTCTTGATTGGTTTCTATTGTTTTCACACATCCATATGGCCAATGACAAATATAGTAATAATAATTCTATCATTTTCTGATAAGTCAGCTCAAAAAAAAAGCTAGATGCATTTTATTTACAATCAAAGAGATACATATCAATTCTTTACCTGGCCTTTTCTAATCTGTTCAATTTAACAAAACAATGTCCCATTCCTAGTCGAACAGATCCGGGACAGTTTGGATTATTCTTTAGAGCTTTCTTATAGTAAGCTAAAGCACTTCTGAACTCTTTCTTATTGAAGGCAATGCAAGCTTTACCCAACAGAGATGGAATATTACTTGTAGACTGAAATTGGGAGGCAATTAATATCAATAATGAGTATAGTACATAATATACTGAATAATAGGTCTGATTTCCACAAACATAAATCTAAACAAAAATACAAATAGATGAGCAAATAATAATGTTGGCTTGAAAGAATTTTCTTTTGATTAAATTAAGTTTAATTCGCTCATCCTCTTGATATCAGTAGCTCATGAAAATGATCCATACAATCAAGTGAATTTAGTAGGCCTACTGTAGATTATAAAAAGAAGTAAAACTTACTTGATTGAGTACAAAGTTAAACTGAGCATCAGCTTGATCCATTTTATCCCCCTCCAATAAACAAAAATAGGCACGACCCAACAGATGATTCTATAAATATAAACAACATTTCAAGTCACTAATCAAAAATAGACAAATATATTTCACTGAGGACTACAGCCAGGACTGGATTAAGACCGTTAGAGGCCCGATGCACTGTAAGGTTCATGGTGCCCTGAACACAATTTTATTTTGCTTAACGGTTAATTTAGGGCTGATAACAGTGACCAAGTATCATTTTTTAGGGTCAAATTCATGTTCATTTTTGATTAAGCAAAATTCCATTTGCAAATTCAATGTCAATAATTGTAATATGAAAATATTGCATATGGCTCAAAGTTGTATTTTTAAAAAATGCAGTGTCTCAGCATACCTACGATTTGACTATATTCAGTACAACATCTGTTTTCATGAGGTGTGACTGAATATTATTTTTTATTGTTATGATCCATTATGTTATTATATCAATCAAACCATGGCTTGTGATGACAAATCTACATACTTGTCGGTCAAACTATAAAAACCTGCCATGTTAAAGACTGCCCTGATAAGAGCTGTTTGTAATTTTAACATTTATTGTTGTGTTTTAAAAGATCGCTTTATTGCACGTACCTGGTCATACATAATAATCTTATCGGCTGTTGTATAGAGAAGAGTAGCCTTGGTAAAAAGCTCTCTTTTAGTGTCTTTATTCTTTTCTTTATGGGCCATCTGTACGTAATAGGCTGCCAGGGTATCCAATGACTGCATCTGATCTCTTTCAAAATTTTGGTAGTCAATTCCTGCATCTGTTCTTGAGGATTCCAGAATTTTAACAAAATCATCAACAAAACCTTGTTTATAGTACTCCAACTAAAATAAAAAAATATTTACCATAGATGTACATCAAATTTTTTAATAAAAAAATTAGGAAAATAAAAGGTGTGACTCTTTCAAATGTTACGTGTAGTGGTCACATCAAAAGTTGATTTACTACTGGCATTTGAATATTCTAAGCCTTTATTTCAATGCTATGCAATGCAAATGTTCAATTTCAGGCTGTTTTTGATATAGTTTTTCCATTTTCTACATGTGGCATATTGTGAATCTTTCAAATAAAATAATATTTCCATTATCTTTTCATTTAATGTTGCATTTTAGTTGATATCACTTGATTATTCCGAAGTTAGAGACAAAATCTGATCAAATTATATGGTTTAAATGACACTGAACAACAAATGCCCCAAAATTAATTCAAATTCAATATCTGAATTGATAGTTTAAGATAATTAATAGTATGAGTTCAGCTCTCATAATATGTGAAACACTATAGCTAATTGTCTGTAAACTGATCAGCAAACTTACTGCCAGCGTAACCCATATGTGTAGAGGTGCCACCTCTTGGCGGAGAATACTGAGTACTTCATCTCCTTCTGGTAGCTGATCAAGATCTAACTCTATAACCTAAAACATAAAATAGACAAATTTACCTTTAAAACATTATCATAATTTTTATCACATTAATTCCACTTAAAAAGTAGGTATGTTTTTTGACCTAAACTTTGATTTCAACAAGTTAACATTACTAAAAAATGTCTTTTTTATCATTAATCATAACATTTTTGCTAGTTGCTCAAATGTTTGTTCAATCTTCATTGATACATCTTGATCGTAATTAGTTTGTACTGTAGGCGTCAAGGTATGACTATTGCATAGAGACCTATTATATTATTAACGAGCTTGACATCTGTGAGTTGTGTTTCAGTGCTTCTAAAAAGTTATCTTGATGCCTTTATGCGTCTTGTGAAGCTAGTGTGCCAGCAGTGGCGTACTCAATGTGAACCAATTCCTTAATCCCTGTTCACTTGTCAAAGAAAATGCAAAAAGGTTAAACAATGATGACATTCACTACATACCATAGGGGAGAGTGGGGCACAGTGGGCATGATTTCTTTTTTAGTAAATTGACAAGAAGTGAAGACCTACAGAGAATCAAACTATGTACTCAGTTGAAGCCAGTCATATGTTCGATTTAACAGTGCTGTTAAGAAGTTAATAAATTGAAACCATTTTTATGTTGATCATTGTAAAACCAAAATTTTTTTTTACCCAATGTGCCCCGTATGTGGGGTACACTGGGTCACACTATCGGACACAGTTGGCCATCGAGTATGTTTTTTTAAAAAAAATGTATAGTAAACACACTGAAACTCATCAGAACTGTGAAAACTAACTTTTTACTGTAGTTCAAAATATGAATTTGTTTTAAGACTTGAACACAGTTACGCAGCTGGAAATTTTAAAAAATAGCTTAACATTGAATAAAAAATTCTTTAACTAGAGAAAAAAAAAATCTTTTATGCAAACAATTCCTATGATTTTTAAGTCAGTAAGGATTCGTAACCTAGGACCAATATTTCCTTAAAAACAGCTCAAATATCCAGATTCTGTCTAAAATGGACAAATGATATTTGGTTAAACTCAAAATGCTTATGCTCAGTGTGCCCCACTGAAATGTGTCCCACTGTGCCCTATCATCAACCACAACAGAAAATCGAAAATGGCAGGAAGGCATGTGATAGTATTATGAAACAAAATATCTCTAATGAGAGTCAATTACTATCTCCTTCACCTGGAATTTCAAATTTGTGGGCTCCAACAAAATCTGGAGTAGTCAAGCAGTTTAACCAGTCCACCAAAAATTCACTTTTGCGTCAGAAAAACGGTTAATGGCTGATATCAGCTTACATAAATTTATTGAATTTAGGAGGACAAATGGGGGCTATAAATGGGAATTCCGCAGTGATGTCACAATTGAATTTTCCCAAAACCTGGCTTACTGTGCCCCATGGCTTACTGTGCCCCGCTCTCCCCTACACGTAACCAGTTTCTCTGTCATGGTTTTGCCTTTTATTTCTTATATTATTGAATGGAGAGCAAATATGGGCGGAATTCAACAAATAATGGTCGTCTTTTTGTAGTTTATATGTGCAAATATAATTCTTTTATGGTTAGTGCTAAATGATAAGGCCAGCTCAATTTTTCGTCATAGGTCACAAGATGAAGATGTAAACACACTTACACAGGGCGACAGGGGCCAGCCATTGCGCTAATCCCAACCCTAACCCTGGATCTAGCCCAAATGCTTACCCTAACCCTAACCAGTAACATACAACCTCGCCAACACTCACGTTATTTACATCTCAGCGACCTTGACAAAAACTGAGCTGGCCTCAACAAATAGATTTAGCTATTCTTTTATTTATAATAAGCACGGTGAATGTCACGTGTGCTCGGACCGGGATTTGATTTTTCGGAGTGGGTCTACTTTGACTTTGAGTATTATCATATCTAAACATGATACATCATAATATATCATTCATTAACGCAAACACAGATTTGGGTAATACATTTTCACGTAGACAGGGATATATAATTAACAATTATAAAGACAATTCCACACTTACTTCGTCCGTATCCCTCAGAGGGATTTCTATGGATCCCGCCGCCATCTTCCTTGTTGACGGGAGAAGTAATTAAAACTTTTCAAAGAAATATTGTGTATTGCAATACAGTGGAATGTAGACGTCTCATTGCTATGGATTATAATTGTTCAAAATAAATAGTTACATTGCTTTTCTTATAGTATAACACAGGGCATCGCATAGCAATATTGAATCAATCGCAAAATTGGACAATGAAAGATCATCCGAATCATTCGGCCCCTTTCGTTTTATTTCGACTGTGAAGCTACACCACTTATCACAGCACTGCAGATGATCAACCCAGAGGGCAGAGAAATACACTTCAGAGTGGTTCCCCGTCCTCTACAGACTTCACAGTTACGTGCTTAACGCCCGCTTCCAACTGAGTGAAATCCGAAACATTCCCGAGAGCTTTAAATAATCTATTATTATCATAACAATGACATGTTTTGGTTTAGGATATCACAGGCCTACGTGCAGAGCATATTTTTCTCTCCCAAATTCATGGAATTAACGTCTAAAAATGTAACGTGCGAAGTATTGCCGCCGTACTTTTTTGGCTCACTCCAATCATATACACACTGAGCAGAAATACTTTCTCAAAGCTTTTGATTTTATCAAATTCGCGGGTAGTTGATCCCTCCGACCCAATGCCAAACTTAATCAACTTGACGTTGTCTCCCCTGGAAATTCCCGCTGCTCAAATACCTGGACACGCGCGCCCCCTGGTCACCCTCGGGGGGGGGGGGCGTATATTCAACAGCTAGAAGGCTTGATCTTGCTTTAACTCCGTACATCTTATCAAGCTGTTGTAAACTCCGGGTCGTTGCTTCAAGAGCGTGAGGTGGAATCGGATGTAAACCTCTGACTCATAATTGATCATAAGGGGGGTGGGGGTGGCCGAATAAGTAGCACGCGCGCGCTGTATCATACGGCCTGTCATTGAGTCAACTGGCGTGGTTTCGAATCCCCGGCTGTACGTGACAAGGAGTAGGGTTGCCTGTCCAACCTCGTGGGTTTTCTCCGGGTCCTCCGGTTTCCTCCCACTGCTAAAGATCCCTACGCGCAAGCGAATTATTGAAATAAAAGTAAACCATATGTTAGTCCCGAAATGACCTAGTTTGTGTCGAGTGGACGTTAAAACCCATTTCTCTCTCTCTCTCTCTCTCTCTCTGACTCATAAGCCGCTGTGGCGGTGTTTGCTACAACTTACTATAAGATTTTATTTTATCATTTAATTTACAAAAGTTTGTCATAATATGACCCGACTGTAAAATATGAGAGCTGGTCACAACACAATAAACAATAACTAATAAATAATTTAGAAAACCGAAAATTTAAAACAAAATTGCAAAATATTAATAATCCCTTAAATAGCATCCTCTACGGTATAATTTGTTATTTGGCCAACATACTATTGGCTGCTTGCCTATGGCCGCACTATCAACGGGTTGCAAGAAATGGGAATATTTAGTTTTAAACAAATGAAACATTAACCGTGGCAGTCCCACAGAATTGTAGGGCGATTTCGCGAGGACCGTAATTCTAGCAATGATCAACATGTATATAGGCTGTGCAAATTTCGTGTCAGATCTAAAAGGGTCCACCACGTCCTTGTGGCCCGAAAGGGAAAAATGGTACGTAGCAATAGATACGAAACTTACGCAGCCTGACCACAGTCTTTTTTTCCTCTGGTGCATTAATTGTCTAAGTTCTATCTAAATAACTGTTGTTAGAAGCTCTGGGAGATACATCTGATCTTCTTGTAGGTTGCTCGGGCATGTGCGAGGGAGAAGTCGATACTTTTGCTATTGCCGCATGGTATTAGAACTCTGTCAACACACTGAAGCAACATGCTATCTACACTTCTTTATTGAAATGAAATGTTATATCATACGTAAAACTATTTCATACTATGGCAAGATGTTAAGGGACAAATTAAGCCTTTTTGTGGCCCTAAAGCAGGTAAAAGATTATGGTTACGGTACCCCTGTCTATGTATGTGACACTATACGGTGTTGATACGTCGTGATTATCCTTCGTCACGGCACAGCACAGAAAAAACACACGTGTGACACTACGGGGACGGATGTGACTGCCTAATCAGGAACTTCCAGAAAACGGCCCGTGACACTAGGGTGACATTTATCTAGTCAGGACTTTCATGCATATAATCTGGCCTCCCCGATATGTATAAACTATTGCCAATGATCAAATGACTCTGGAACACTGTGTTTTTATATAACTAGCCTATGTTTATATATTAAATACATGAACCTACAACATCTATACTAGTACATTAGGAGTTATTATAATACATGTATCTACAGTCTGATTTTAACAGACCTAGCACTCAGACCCAACGGCTGAAACACTACATTGTCTCCATGCATCTAAGAACCGCGCACGGTGTCGGTATCCCGGCCTCTAAGCCAAGACGGCTAGGAACGCCGGATAATGCCTGAAGGGAAAGTTAACCCCGCTTTTCTTGTATAGAAAGTATCTATGTGTTAGCTATTAGGGCGAGACAATTACCATTTTTGGGTAAGTGTTTCGTATCTGCACCGTTTTACGTCAACTTTATTCTATTTAATTAGACTAATCTGTGCACGAGATGAATGGACGATAGTATCCCACTTTCAGCAATTGATTGTATGGTTTTCTTTTCATTTATTATGGGCCCGGGATCAGCTGCATCATGATAAATCCAACCCAGGAAATAAACTCCACGGTGTCCCCTTAATTACCTTGATGCCTACTTACCTTGATGCCCAAACACGTGCTTATTTTTGCTACTAATCTAGGGTTTCATGTTCGCAATTTGACAAAGAAAGGTATGTACGGATACCTTGAATGCATAGGCATAGTGCATAACAACAACTTTTACGTTAAACATTTATTTTTATATCATTTGAGCGGCTTAACCAATAACAGGTTGATCTGAATTAATATTGATTATCACAGCATCGCTTTCAGTAGATAATCTATTAACAGCAGTAATAGCGTACTGACCACGTAAACCCGCATAGTGAGTAGTATCCTTGTTCAGGACCTTAACTAGATTCCAGTTATCAGCCTGTTGTAAATAAACTGCCCAAGACCGTACAGCTCCTGAACTATCCGGATTCCAGCTAATCGTGTTTCCACTGGCTTTAACATTACCTGGAGGAGGAGGAACAGTTGAATTTAACCAAGACATTTCAGGGGCCAAAGCTGGAATTGTATACAGATCACTTTTAAACATGTCATCCAACCCTTTACTATTATCTCGGAAATATTTAGCACTGAAGAAGACATTGCCTAAGCTGAGTTTGTTATTTCTGTCCCTGGATTCCTCTACTTGTCGCCTGATTTCACTTACTGGCCAACCACCATTGACAACTCGACCAGCATAGCACCCCGCGTAAAAATGGCGATGTTTTGTGTTCTGCTGCAGCCACCAGTCCATGAGATGAGTGTAACTTTGTTTTGGGGGATCAATTCTCCAATACAACTGAGGATTCATGTAGTCCACCCATCCTTCCATAAACCATTTCCTGCTGTCAGCATACTGAGAATCGTAAGATGAAAACCCAACAATACCAGAAGGATAACCAGATTTCCAGATTCCAAAGGGACTCAGTCCAAATTTGACGTCATTTTTCAATGATTTGATACTGGAATAAATGCGTTGGATTAAGTTATTAACATTTTCCCTTCTCCAGTCATCGTGACTCAAACGTCCACCAGACGACCTGTAAGCATTATATGTATGACTGTCCGGAAAACTGACTCCAGATACTGGATAAGGATAAAAATAGTCATCCATATGGACACCATCTACGTCATATCGTTTCACCACATCCATAATTACATCATGGGCACGATCCTGGACTTGTTTTGCACCAGGATCCATGTATATATCGCTTCCATAGGTGTAAGCATATTGTGGATATTCGATGGCCATATGATTTTTGGCAAGTCCACTGCGACTGGGAGACGTATTTGCTCGATACGGATTAAACCACGCATGTACCTCGATATTTCTTTTGTGTGCCTCGTTGACTACAAAATCCAGAGGGTCATAATATGGTGACGGGACTTTTCCTTGAGCCCCAGTTAGATAACGACTCCAGGGTTCGATCTGAGAATGATACATAGCATCTCCAGCACATCTTACTTGAAACACCACCGCATTAAAATTGAGATCTTGGAGTTTGTCAAGGAGGACAATCATTTCCTTCTGTTGTTGAGCAGATGTATGTCGACTAGAAATTGGCCAGTCTATGTCGGCAACTGTTGCTACCCATACTGCTCGAAATTCCCTTATCGGCCACTCAGCACCAATTGGTTTTACACCTTAAATGAAGAAAAGAAAACAATAAAGCAAAACTGAAACTTGTAAATTACGTCGCTCATATTTATTTCAGTGGTGCAAGTGCAAGATGTCTACAGGGCCGGACGAGAAACGATGTCTAGTCATTCGGATTGGACCAAAACCCGAGATACGGGTACACGTTGGCGTGTATGTAAAAGACTCCTTGACAGTAGGCCGTAGGGCCGCTCTACGGACTAATGTGCTCCTCATACATAGCATTATCCCGAGTGGTGCAGAACAGCAGAATAATAAACCCCATTTCATTTAATTTATTTCTGAGCACATCCGATGTCAATTACTTGCTGGTGCAAGACGAAGAGAAAAAAAAATCATTAATTCACTAAATATTTTTAATGAGACGAGTGTTGTTAGATCACGAGTGAAAACATTTTCAAAATCAAGGTCATAACTTACCCCAAACTCCACATTGCATGCAGAGAACAAGATAACTGTATACGAACAATAACGGCCTCATCTGAAGTAAAGTTGAAAAAAAAATCTTCAAATTTTATGGGTTATTTTTTTACTCACTGTTTTTTTAAAATCTTTATTCGTAATATGGAGATTAATGGGGTTTATTATTATTGTTGATTTAGCATGACTTTGTAGATTTCATTCCCTTTAAGGGTTTCTTATTGATTAAACATACATTATGCAAGAGCTAAATCTGTCTATTGAAGGTCTTTCTTTAGGCCTGAAATGTTATCTAAATTATTAATTAGACATTAATTAACTTATCCAGACCATAATCAACTCTAGATGGCATCGCTAGCCTGCGATCTTAAGTGGATTGTGAGCCGATTTACTGCATAACTTTCCTTCTCGATTAAACGATTAAATAGATAATCGAGACTATGCTGTTTATCGTACCGACTTTAGTAATGATGACCGAGGCTAAGCAGAAATTTCATTCGCTTAGTTTTCGGTTCATAGTGGATCAATTTGAATGAAATTTTCAGCAAATTGCCTTTACGTAATTTGTTAATTTGTTTATTTTATCCATTTGTATATAACTGTTTGTATATTCTGTAACATGTTGATTGTATCATTGCTCGATAACGGTGAGTGTCCTCATTGAATTTGAAACGTTGCAGTTAATAAAACCAGTGAATGTTATCCATCAAGATGTCAGTTATTATGTATCGCTTTCGCTAAATGCTTTTTAAAAATGTTAAGTTTACATTGTAAATGACAATCGTATTTGGAGAAAAATTGTTTAGGCTCAATAAAGATTAATTAGTTGAGTATAATAGCAAGTGCAGGAGGACCGCAGCACACATAAACAATTACACACAACACACGGACGGGATACAATTGAAATGCTCATAGATTTTTTAACTGCATTTCCATTTCTAGAAACTTTTATTTAATATTTCAATTCAATATATTTCCTCCATTGGATCTGTTTGTTTAATTTTGAATATTAGAGGATTTCGTGGAATTTATTAGTAAATATTTCATAACATACAGAAAACCCAAGCTAAAAGAAACGTCGAATAACGATTACTAAACATATGATTGAATTGCATTTACAAATAATTCAAAATCAAATGAAATGAAATGATTTTTAACGTTCGACTGGGCAAATGAAGACTGGCATGCCATTGTAACAGTGTGCGATGAGAGAAATTTTGCCCTGAAAGCGGCGCTACGGTCTACACTTGTATCTAATTCCAACCGCAAACGTTCACGCCAAGGTGTACACGTGATCTCAGTTTTTCGTCCCATCCGAACAACTATACGTTGTCCCATACCAGACTCTCCGTCCTGCACCACTGACAAGGGGGAACCACACCGGAAAATCCCGATGAACTTTCTCGGACAAAGCAGGGATAGAACACGGCCCCCCCCCCCCGTCTTACTCACTGAGCCACCATGTCTCCAAATATTTGTGTAAGCGATAATATAATAATTTATGTGAATATTTGCGCACCACGTAGATGTATAAGTGTCCAGAAAACACAGAATTGATAAGGATGCATTGCTGCCAAAAAATAATTGATAAAGCAAGAATACTGTCGGGCTCCCTAGCGTATAATGTTCCCATATACATAACACTTACCGTTGTAGCCTACTCATTATAAATATTTGCTTTAATTTATTATCTTTATTTCATGACGTATCTTCAAGATTTCAATAAATACAGTACCGACTGTGTCCCAGATAAGATAAACCAAATTGTCTTAATCTCAAAAACGTGAGAAACGGTTTATCGAAAGTTATAGATTTGGTAAGGAAATATTTCTGCAGATTTTAAGAATAGAAAACGGTTTCATTCATATATATTATATAGACCCGCTATAACTGAATAAATCTGAAATATGTGGAACAATATTAACAACCAACAACAATTAAAACAGATAGTTTGTGGTGATCCGAGGACTAATACTTAATTTCTTTTATCTTCGAATATAAAATAAATATTATATTTTTAAATTAGGTTACGTGCGCTGGAAAAATGAAATTTTAAAACATTATCTGAAATGAGCGGCAAATTATATCTGGTTTTATCTAAACTATATGATTGAACAATTGCACGTTAACATTTTATTAAAGGAGAATTACAGGAGATTGGATACAGAGTTGACACTTCTCGCTATAATAGTTAGATATATAAACGTAAATAGAATACGCTGAACATTTCAGTAAAATTGCTCCACTCACCGAGATATAGCGATTGAATTTTAAGCATAGCCCCGATTATCATTACTAAAGTCGGTACGATAAAAACAAAACACACCCAAAAACAACAAAGTTTCGATTATAATCCATTTTGACGTTAAAGGAGCTAAATCGCTAATATTTGGGACCAAGAAATTGACCCAAATAGGTCGCAACGCATATAATAATGTAATCTGATTGTATATAAACTTATTTACATTCAATTGTTTCCGTTTTGACCTTAATTTCAAATCAGTTATGTCCAGCGAAATACGACATGAGTCTCAACCGAATAGTAATTTCTAGCGTCTGGTTATTCCAGTCTATTGCGCATGCTCTCCAGATAAGATATGGCCCCGCCGTTTGCCATGAGTTGTTGAATATGTCTAGGCTCGTTCTTTCTGGTCACTTGTTGCAAATGACGCTGAAACGCACTATTGTACACGATTCGTGTACCAATGGTAAAATGTTTATTTTGACTTAAATATTGGATATCAGAAGCCTACCTTTTCCTGGTAAGATCACAACATCAATGTTGATTTGAATTGACAAATAATTCATATTTTCAACGTGTAAGACTTTGGATGATATTGAGTTAGAGACTTAGCTACTTTAAATCATCCATCACAAAATGTATTCAAATCCAGTAAATATCGCAGGCTAGCGATGGCATCGAGAGTTGATTGTGGTCTGGATAAGTTAATTAATGTGTAATTAATAATTTAGATAACATTTCAGGCCTAAAAGAAAGACCTGCAATAGGCAGATTTAGTTCTTGTATAATGTATGTTTAATAAAAGATTTGACTGCAGTATAATCATAGTTCCCCACATTTACCGGCTAAATCTATCTGGTAAGCTGGTAGCTCAATTTTTGTCAAGGTCGCAGAAATGTAAATAGGGTTAGGGCACGTGATTGTTGGCGAAATTGTAGGTTAGGGTCAGGGCATGGCTGCAACTAGCTCAGAGCAACGAGGGGGGGGGGGATCTCAGGGGTGCTAAAAAATTTTAATGGTCAACAATTTTTTCACGGGGGGGGGGGGGGGGGCGAAACCTTTTTACCTACAAATACGTCAAAGGTCTTTATTTATTTTTCTAATACATTAAAAAAATGTTTTAGAATTTAATTTGTCGGTGGAAAAAGTTAATATTTGAGACTCATTAAGTCGCATTGATGTCATCCTTATCGGTGATTGTAGCGGCCTAGCGAATATTCACAGCTGATCAGTGTGAGTAAAAATAACCAGAATGGCAACTGCTTCATTTGCATAAAAAGTAGGTCGCGCACTGCATCTTGGGGTTTGTCTGTAATGTCACCACCATGGCGGCCAAGACAGTTGTATCGCAGTCAAACAAAAGGAAAAGTAAACATCCTAGTGGTGGATACGGTACCCAGTGTAGATCCTACGGGTGTTTTAATTATTCGGGCACTGCTGAGGGATTAAAATTCTTCAGTTTTCCTAAAGAAAAAGAGAGGTAAGGAAGCGCAAATTATTATGTATAGCCATGGAGTGGACCTTATAATATAGCCATATGGGCATGGTGTCATGGACCTTATAATGCCATGGACCATGGTATAGCCTATTAGTAGATAACAAACCTTAATCTCTCAACCCTCCGTGTTTCAAGATAAGACATGAGGCCATTACCTTCAACGTAGCACATGCGGGAGCGATTTGCACCCGGCATTTGTAAACAAAATTGACAATATTTTTAATAAAAACAACGATTGATTATTGTTATTTGTAATATTTCTGCCAGACCCAACTACAAGTAAAGCATATAATCCTAATCGGTCGTTTTTAAAATCGAGGTGTTAAGCCGTTACTAAGACCGCCATCTTTTTAAACGATATGCTGTCATCATGAAAGCGGGGCTAAATATATAAGGCTTTTATAACAGCCAATCATTATCAAAAGGGCAATCTAAAGCACTGTAACTATGAATGGATTTCGATGGCGGTGAACGTCAGACAAAAACAACGCTTTATTAATTTAAACGTGAATATTTGGAGTTAGGCGACAGTTATGCCACTACATTGGCCTCTGTAAGTTTAATTAATCTTATTTTAAAGATGTTACATGTATTAATAAAGAAATTGAGTTTGCCACTTAGAACTAAAGGCATCCAATCGTAGCTAAAAACAAACACATCAGTATATCTCAACGTTTTTAGCTACGTTCTCGTAGCTAGGTATAGCCCAGTCTACGCCGTGTCGTCTGCTAGTGCTACTCCTAGGCTAGTGCTGAAGACAAAGCGCTCTATTCTTTGGTTATATATTATTACTATATTAGCCTAAAGGCCTAGCCATAAATAACGTGATAGATTATAATATCAGCAATTAATAGTAATGATAGTAGCCTAGGTGTCACAGCTCCATTGCCCGCGTTGGAAGAAAGTCGTTTTTTCCCGATAACATTTTATTTTGTACCGGTATGGGTATATATAGGCTATTTGGTAAAAGCAAACTAGGCCTATTGAAAAAATATTGCATTCCATTCAATTTAGCCTAGCTATAGACAGTAGACTCTAGTCTAAACGATTTAAGAGTTACGTCTAGGCCTATTACGCAAAGTAAGTGTAAGCTACTCATAATGCGGGGAGAGATGTGGAGAGAAATTTGGTTTAACATCCACTCGATTCAAAGTAGCCTACTTTTGAGACTAGCATAATATATGGTTCAATAATTCACTTGTGTCAGTCTTTTTTACCAGTGAGAGGAGAGGAAGATGGAGGCATCAGGACCCAAAGAAAACCCACGACTTGGACGAGGCTGGACAAGCAACCCTATTCCTTGTAATGTACAAGTGAGGAATCACTTTGTGGCACTGGACTCTTAAGACAGACCTTCTGACACAACGTGCAAGCATTAACCATTTTAGGTCTGTTTCGGACTAATTGCAAGTTTTGCCAAATTCTATCATTTGTGTATTAATTTTAGGTGTGATAGATGGATTCAGAATATAAGAAGACGGGATATGATGGGTATGAAACCAGAAAATCTGAAACATTCCAGATTGTGTTCAGATCATTTTGAGAACAGTCAATTTATGAACCCTACAGATAGGTAAGCTCCAGCTTTACTAATTCTGTTTTACTGACAATGGAAGTATATTGTTAGTACCCACTTTTAGCCTACATAGTCTGTCTTTTTAGACAATTTTCCGCTTTGATTTGAATCTGGACTTCTTTAGTTTCGATAATATAGATTTGAAATATGACAGTTTCTCAACTACATTGTTTGTGAAGTTAAAAGAAGTTGTTTTTATAATTAAACATTTTCTATTTCTAATTCACAAGGAGTAAATTTACTATTACACAAATATTTTTGGTTTATAATCAAGGATGAAGCTTATATTGATTATCTCTATAATTTAGTTTTTTGGGACATAATAACTCTCTTTCTAATTGAGGTAGAATGTTCAAACTTGGTGTAGGTGTTTATTAGGTCAATGCCTTGATGGAGTTCAAAGATGGGCATTTTCTGCTTAGGGTAAGCAGAGATAAGCAATTTGATTGGTTGATGCTTTGGGACACGATGAAACTTGGTGTATAGTTTCATTACATCAATTTGGTCAATGCTTTGGGACAAGATTATCTTGATTCTATCTGATAGAGAGTGATGAATATTAGTGTATAGTTTGATTGCCCGATACTTATGAAATTAATTAATTTTGTGTCATCTATTTATTTTGGGATTTCGGCGGGGGACATCAGCCTCACTGTTGGCTTGTTTGTCCTCTCCTATTTTATTTCATGTTACAATGTTACACCTTTTTTTAAACACAGAACTAGCAGATTGAAGCCCAATGCTGTTCCTACTATCATTGATGCCCCAAACGCACCAAAACGTCTGAAATCATGTAGGAGAGAGATTGTAAGAAGAGTGATTCAGATTGATGAAGAAGTTGAAACTGCTATAAAGATAAAGAGTAAGCTAGTTATTTAAATTATACATCACTGTTCATTAAACACTGCCATATCTTTCAATCGGGTAGTTTGTAGATTGAATCATTTTGTTTTATATATGCCCACAATATCAAAAAAGTGGGGGTATGTTTCTGAAGCAAATACTGTGAGTTTTACAACACTTAGACATTGCTAGATTAGTCTGAAATTGCCAAACTTTTAGGTAGTTATCTCCTCTTACCACAAGGTGGTTTGGATGGCCGAATGGTTAATGCGTGCGCGTTGGATCAGAAGGTCTTGAATGCACAAGAAGTAGGGTCGCCTGTCCATTTTCACAGGTTTTCTCCGGGTCCTCCGGTTTCCTCCCACTAAAGACCACTACGTGCAAGTGAATTATTGGAATAAAATTAAACCATGTTATTCCCAAAATTACCTGGTTTGTGTCGAGTGGATGTTAAACCCAATTTCTCTCTCTCTCCCCATTTACCACAAACAAATGATACATACACGCAAGGGAATAGATTTGTTTACAATTGTTTCTACCCAATATATATTAGCCAAATCCGAATGATAGCCAAGTATCATTACAAGAACACCCCCCGTAAATGTTATTTTTGTTATATTTCATTCACATTTTCACATGTTTGAGTGGAAAATTTTTTTAATATTTTTTAGAGGAGGATATATCAACAGAATCCGGAACAATGACAGATATATCCAAACAGGATATAGATGACCTAAAAGCAACTATTCATAAATTATAAGCTGAAAATCACATATTGAGAAAAAGATGTACAGATATATCCAAACAGGATATAGATGACCTAAAAGCAACTATTCATAAATTAAAAGCTGAGAATCACAGATTGAGAAAAAGATGTACAGATAAAAGAACTATGTCAAAAATTATTTTATTAGATACACTGAGCAAATATTTATCGCCGCCTGCTTATAATTTTGTCAAACAACAAATAGAAGTTGCCAAAAAGAAGAACCGAGGAATCAGATGGTCTGATGAAATCAAGTCATTTGCTTTACAGATGAAGGGAATTAGTACTAAAGGATACAAATTTCTTAAGAAAATTTTCAGGCTTCCAGCCATAAGAACTCTGAATGAAATGGTGGGTTCATTTAATATTGAAGAAGGTTTTCATCAAGCTGTTATCAAAACCTTACAAGAAATGACTACTAGTACTACCATGTCTCCCAAGGAAAAATTAGTTGTTTTGTCATGATGAAATAGCCCAACTTTAAGGAAACTTTGGCATACAATAGATCGTCTCTTTGATTGTTTTAATAGTAGCAGTTTGTCGTCAACCAAACCTTTGAAATGTGCATTAAGAGATGGAACAGCTCATATGACTAGAAGAATCAATCAAGACTGTCTTGAGCACTTTTTTGGATCAATACGAGGAAAAGGAGGATATAGAGACAATCCAGACTCCTACCAATTCCATCATGCCTACAGGCAATCACTAGTTGAACATCTGATGATTGGTGGCAACACCAATTGTGAATTTGACAAAAGTCGCCTTTTTATTAAATTGAGCAAACTTTGCAAGGTGAGTTAAGAGTTATTTTGATTTTGTAAATTGAAATTTTTGTGTATTATATAACTAAAATATCCATATTAAAAAGGACTGTTGTAACAATATTTGAATGTGTTATATTAAAAGGTGTTCGATTATTTCCAGTCCTTGATTGTGTGAAGATGGTGTCATTTATGAAATTGAATAATTTATCTGTGGAACTTTGATACACATTCTCATTCCAAATTCCAAAACCAATAATTTTGTTGCAAAACTTCAAAAGCTACTTATGTTATTTTTATTTGTGTATTTTAGTTCAAGTCAACCACAGCTGTTATTGAAACAGAAAAACCTAAGTGCCCAGTAAACTCCTCTGCTCAAGCTACTGTACTTTCTGATGTGTCCATAGTTGAACTGGATATATCTGACATATTGATAGATCCTCTTTTAGAACTGCCAGAAGAAAATATTGTTGCTTACATATCTGGATATCTTGTTCATAGAGTTTATAATAAGTTTAATTGTGATACCTGTTTGAAGTTATGGACTGCCTCTGAAAGTGAAGCTCATGGTGACATTTATTCTTTTATTGATCAATTGGATGGCTGAATGGTTAGCGTGCGCGCGCTGTATCATAAAGCCTGTCATTGAGTCAACTGGCGTGGTATCGAATCCCCGGTTGTACGTGGCAAGGAATAGGGTCGCCTGTCCAACCAATTGGGTTTTCTCCGGGTCCTCCGGTTTCATCCCACTGCTAAAGACCCCTACGTGCAAGCGAATTATTAAAATAAAATGAAACCATGTGTTAGTCCCGAAATGACCTAGTTTGTGTTGAGTGAACTTAAACCCCATTTCTCTCTCTCTCTTTATTGATCAAAAGCAATATGATAAAAACAATAAGAAAGGTTTTGTTAAACCCAGTCATTTAATTTATGCTGTTACAATGAAATTAGAATCAATATTTAGAGATTCTTTTGACGGTATTAATAAATCCGAAAATGTATGTAAACAACTTATTGAAATATTTATGAAAAGTGTTACCAACAATATTGTTTTTTCAACTGGTTGTGCTAAAGTTCGTAGATTTCTGCTGTGTCTATTTGTTCGCATGAGAATACATCATTGTATAAAAGAACTTAATAGGTCTAGGAAATGCAAGAAAAATAAGAAAAAAAAAAATTTGTGAAAGTGTCACATTCCTAATTTATCAAGTTCTTTCTTATTTTATAAAATATTTATTCAATTATTTGGACTAGTTAGACTGTAGAGTCTATTCATGTATCTAGATATGTATACACATGCCAGTGATCCAAAATGTGCACCTTGCTAAGATATTTATCTATTGGTTTACTAGCCCCAATCACTTGCATAGATACTTTTGTCACCTTATATATGCTTACTTGGAATGGATTACAGAGTGAAACTCTTATCACCTTCAATAGTTACTTTAAACATGCATTATGTAAGAGCTATATCTGCCTATTGCAGGTATGTGTTTAGGCCTTAAATAGGGTCTATTTACTTGCCAAGACCATAATCAACTCTCAATGCCATTGGACACTTGAGATTTTAACTAGATTAGAATGGTTCGGCCATTTAATGTTTGAATTTTGATGAAACTTGAAATGCATGTTTATAACCCACAGATCTTGGTTCCTTTTGATTTTTGTGCATATCGGATCCTAACTTCCTGAATTATGTCCCCGGATTGTACGAAAAATCGCGTTTTAACTTGTGGTCCCTCTAGAGGTCACCAAAGATCTGAGTTGCTTCGATATTGGCATGTATTGGACCATAACTTCATGGATTATGGCCCCTGATTGTACAAAAACTATCCTGTTTTTTAGCTTGTGGTCCTGCTAGAGACCACAATTATTATCCGATTTAAATAACCGCTCAAATATATAACCGTTATGTCGTTTGAGTTCGAACTTCGTGAAAATGGGACCAAAACTACCGGACGAAGTGGCTGCCCTTCGTAAAGGGGACCCTCTAGAGGTCACAATTTTGATCTGATTTTGATGAAACTTGAAATTTATGTCTATATCACAAAGATCTTGGTTCTTTTTGATAATGGTGTAGATGTTCATGAGGTGAATGTCTTTGCTGAATTCAATGATTAATATTTTGTGCCAAGACTGAGCAAAGCTAAGCAATTTCATTGGTTGATACTTTCGGACATGATAACTTTTATTCTAATTGAGGGAGAGTTATGAAATCGATTGTATAGTTTCGCTACATCAAAACCATGACTTAAGCTCCATCACAAATATTTTCTACATGAACTAAGCATAGATAAGCAGTTTGATGAAAGACAAATGTTCAATTAATTGATATGTGTCATGTGTTTATTTGAGGATTTCAGAGGGGGGACATAAGCCTCACTATTGGCTTGTTTCATTTGAGAAAGTTCTACACAGAGTTTTTTATTTTCATTTCATCATTTCAGTGGCAATGTCTTATGGGAAATACAGGATTTTAAGTCCCTGGCGTGGATGGAATAAGCCCGTAAACTTAAAAAAGTCACTGGAGTGGATGGAATAACCCCGTAAACTTTTTCCTGCTGCCATCAGACATTGTCACTGAAAAGATAATATGAAAAGAAAAAAAACTTTGTGTAAGACTTTTTCAAAAATGAAACAAGTCAACAGTTAGGCTTATGTTCCTTGTTGATATTCTAAAATAAATAAATGACACATATCAATGAATTGAAGTTTTGTCTTTTTATTAAACTTCTTTTCTATACTTAGTCCAAGCAGGAAATATATCACCATTCCACCATAATGAAGGTTGAATTCAAATTTCAGGAAAATCGAAACTAAATGGTGTAAAAGTATGTAATACAAAGGTTGTCAACCCTCTAGAGGTCACAATTTTTATCTTATTTTGATGAAACTTAAAATAAATGTTTATGTCCTAAAGATCTCAGTTTCTTTCGATATTTGCGCACTTTAGGCCATAACTTTCTTGATTATGGCCACTGATGGTACGAAAAAACCCTTTTGTTTTTAGCCTGTTCTCTATCCATCTTCCAAATGTGACCGTATCTTGCCTGGCAACTGCTGGTTATTTTTATATGCATTTTAGTTTTAATGTTAATATTGTATCTAGCTCTTAGTTAAAATGGTTTTGTTGTTTTGTTACACTTTCTGTTTTGTTTTAACTATTTCAAATTATCCCTTGTCTATAGAAATTATACAGTTTGTTCATTTGTGGGTCATACCCTAGCTAACTGTTGCTACTGATTGTACATATACATATTTCATTTGATTTTGTGAATTTGTTATATAAGGGGGGGATGGGATGGCGCTTCGAGCTCTAGCTTGCTGGTCACCAATGGCTCGCGGTCGTGGTTTCGAACCCTGGTGTGAGGGTGTGTGGCTTGGAGATGGGGGCACCTTCTCAATCTCATGGGTTTACTCCGGGTTCCTCCCACAAATAAATAATTGCTATCCATAAAGTTGCTGTCTTTTGTTTCCACATTAAGCCATCATAAAGAACAGATATATGTGTCCTTTCCTTAGATCCCCCGTGTTAGTGTATTGAAGAACAGAGGGTCAATGTATAGTCGTTTGGATGGGACGAAAAGCCATGGTCCAGTGTACACATTGCGCGCATGTAAAATAATTTGATGTAAGGTTAGGCATAGCGTCGCTGTCTGGACAAAAATTCCCTCATTGCAAACTGTATGGCATATCCATTACACTGTATACATCCCTTGGGAAAGTCCAAGAAAAAGGCTGATAGAATAAGACTTTTAAAGCCAACACAAAACTACCTTTTAAGGCGAAGCAACCACCAAGAGATATTACCAAGTGTTGACCTTCTGTTTAATAAAAAAAACAAACAGTGCCACATGTCATTAACTTTCTAAGTTGGCTAATCGACACGCCCCCATCTGCATCAAAAAGCACCAAAATCAGCTTTGTGATGAAATAACTGGATAAACCAACATAGAAAGTAATGAAATTTGGCATGCTCATATGTTATGCATTTGTCGTAAGGGCAGATCCAGAAATTTTTGCAGGTGGTTTGCCAGCTGGTTACTGAGACAATGTATATTTTGGGGGTGGGGGCCCTGGGTTCTATCACCCGGCATTTAAAATTTTTAAGAAATACAGGGTGATGTCCTATAATATGACTATATATTAGGAACCTATAACAGTAAATCTCTTTGGGGTATAGTCTGTGCCCTGAATAACTTACGGTCTGAAAGTCAGATATATACAGGGGAATTCAGGGTTATTATTCTGAAAGTTTTTCTTTAAAACCTGTAATGTATTCTTCCAGGGTAGGGTTGTCGTTTTTTTTCATAAGACGAAAACATGATATAAGGTTTTTCTTAAGAGATATTCTCATTTTGCGTAAATGTAAACATTGAGGGTTTATAAACAAGATAAAGTCTTTGACTTTGGTTATATAATATTATGCTGGGGAAGAAAGACTTCAGAAAAAAAAACCTCGACATAAAAACCTTGGGCTCGGTTTTTCTTTTCCTCAGGTTATTTTCTTCAGTCTTCCTTTCTCCACCTTAACCCAAATCTGAATCTCGTGCTTTATAGAACCAACATAAAATATGAAAATAGATCGCATTAACCTAGTACTCAGTTCAGTACCGGTAAGCCAAATTTCAACTGAAGCCCAAATCAAATCAGGCCTTAAAGAACTAGGCAAAGTTAAAATATTAAGATGGAATTTCAGTTTAGAACTTTTGTTGTCAACTCATACTAGTACAAAATTAGCCAAATTGACCTTGTCGTGTTTTGTATTACTTCAAAGAATCGCCATGACATGTATGTAGATACCGTCTCATAACGTCGTTGAGCGAATTGACAGTGTTTGTTTTATCTGTTTCACAAAGAATTACGAGTCTTCTAATATCTCTGTAAAAGATGACTGTCTTTAACACGTGCCGCCACAGCACGCGACGTCAATCATTGGCTGAATGGCGCGTGCCATAAGACGTTACTGCTTCGGGCAGAATGCTGCATTTTAAGTCATTTTAATACCATTTACACTATAAAATGGGAAATAATTTTTACCTACATTGGCTACAAATACGTCAAACGTCTTTATTTATTTTTCTAATACATCCAAAAAATGTTTTAGAATTTAATTTGTCGATGGAAAAAAGTGAATATTTGACTCATTGATGTCATCCTTATCAGTGATTGTAGCGGCCTAGCCATATTCACTTCTGATCAGTGTGTGTTTGTTTATTACAGACAATTCCCAAGATGCATTGCGCGTTGCTGTGTTTTTATAGTGTAACGTGAGTCGCTACTCTGGTTATTTTTACTCTGTGATACCGGTACAACTTTCACCTTTTTATTTGCATACTATACGTCAATTAAGAACAGTATAAAACATACACTAAGTCTACATATCAGTATACATATATACAAAAATATATTTTACATGGAATAATATATTGGAATAACATGATATAATAATGAAATGAAAATATAATGAGATATAAACACATACATTTTTAGTCATGAACCAACGTACTACCATTGCGGATGATACAAAGAAAATTTAGCAATGGAAGTATAGGCTAACAATGAAATGAAAATATGAAGTATATGCCTACATACATGTATAATGATCAAATGTGGAGTAAGAACTAGTTTTAATTATAAGTAAGAACATGTAGCAGAAAAATAGACTAGGCATGCATGGTACCTCCCTTCCCGTATACATTGGCCATTGCTACTGCTTTAGCAAGAAAATCTGGCGGATTAAAAAGAAGCTCAAAAGTTAATTGTATAATATAAGTGCAAGTTTTCGTATCTCATCTAGCTGGGACACTGGAACAGAAAATGGAATTCATCTTCTACGGTAGAAAGAGAACATTGCCCAATTGGGTCACAGAGTAAAAATACACACTCTGTGATATGGGTGCATAACCTTTGGTCAGATGGAATATTCTTGTATCGCCCTCTCTCTATTTCCAGTTTGTGTGAGCTGAGTCGAAACGATGAAAAGGCATGTTGCATGATAATGTCACAGAAAATGGAATATTCATCTTCTACGGTAGAAAGAGAACATTGCCCAATTGGGTCACAGAGTAGCCTAAAAATACACACTGACACTCTGTGATTGGGTGCATAACCTTTGGTCAGGTGTAATATTCTTGTATCGCCCTCTCTCTATTTCCAGTTTGTGTGAGCTGAGTCGAAACGATGAAAAGGCATGATGCATGATAATGTCACAGAGTATTTTTACTCTGTGATAATGTCCTGTTCATAAATCCGTTACCAAGCTTTCCGAACGACCTTGACACGACATGAAGGTCGACTCTTTTCATTTCATTGTTCAAGCAGAGAAGATATCGGAGTAAACGTTGAGTATATTTGGCTCTCTAAATCAAAAAATGACATCTCAAGCTCGACAAAACTTCCACGAAGAATGTGAAGCAGGGTTAAATCGTCAAATTAATTTAGAACTGTATGCTAGCTATGTTTATCAGTCAATGGTGAGTCGCCTTCATCATAGGGCCATATTATTGCTATGTGAAAACACTGAAAATAACAACAGCTAATGCTATTGTGATCTTCATGAGCCACAGGCGTACGAGGCAGCTGGGGGGGGGGGGAAATCGAATAAAACAATTATTTTGCTCTTCTTTTAATTGAGTACCACGAATTTGTTACTGAATTGATTATGGATTAAAACATTTTGTCTGACCAACTCTACTTTGTACCAGTACATTTTTCGGGCATCGATTATATTTGTGATTGTGAATGCACCAGCAACAGTCAGAATGGATGGTTAGAATTAGGTTTGCAAACCGATTGAAAACCGTGAAGTTGCTTAGAATAGCAGAAAAAAAATGCATTTGCGGACTTAAATTTTCAAAATATTTTCAGGGAGTGCGAGGCCCCCATGGCCGCGCCGTTTGATTAGTTGTTTGGGATTAGGGATTTCAGGTAAGTCACCTTAAGGTAGGCCATAATGGAATGGACCACATTGAAGTTGCAGTATTCACAGGCTTGAATAGCAGGAAAAGCGTTTGATTGGTTGATTGGAATTTGAGTCAGCCATGTACGACTTAAAATTTGAAGTTGCTGTATTCACGGGCTGGAATAGCAGGAAAACGCATTTGTGTCCGTCAAATTTTCCAAATTTAAATTGGTGTGTGTGTGTGTGTGTGTGGGGGGGGGGGGGGGGGTCCTGCATGTAAGCTCCGCTCCTTCGCCTCTCGCAGACGACCGGCACCGCTGTCTATAAACCTGACATTCATCGAGCCTGTATGCCTATGATGAGCCATCGACCCATTCCCATTATACTTAAGTAAATAGCCTCGCAACCTCCATATACATAATTGGTCCAGGAACATTTATTTCATTTCATTACTCCTGTATTGTACTATGTAAATTAATGTTGTATTATGTATAATAATTACTTTATAACCTTTTGGTGTACATTACCTGATATTATTTATAATCCATATAATACTAGAAACACTTATTATGGACACAATTCCACTATCAAACCAATCTTCTGGGCTAGAAAAGTTGATGATACGTTTGTTATACTGGAAGATCAAGACGACCCAATCGATCTGTTAAACCACCTAAACAGCCAGCATCAACGTATCAACTTCACTATGGAGACCGAAACTAATAAATGTCTATCTTTTCTTGATGTCAAAGTCAAATCCGAAGAGCAAACTACCACAACCAGTGTTTACCGCAAACCTACACACACAGACCAATACATCCATTTCCAATCAAGCCACCCCTACAGCACCAAAATAGCTACGATATCAGCCCTTGTGAAGAGAGCCAAAAACTTACGCAGTAGTACCAACCTCCAGGATGAAATACGACACCTACAGGAAGTATTTGTCGAACACAATGGATACCAACAAGAAGTGGTACAGAAAATAATGAATAAAACCCTATCAGAAGACCCGAAACCACCGTCACCTCCAAAAGAACCTGTACGTATATCAATCCCATACCAAATAAGGAGAATATTACACCAGCATCCAGGGATTGGAGTAAACTTCATCAATTGGTCAAGCACCAAGGACATCCTAAAAGCAAATGGAAAATTAACCCAACCACACCCCATAAACCCAAAGGCTGTGTTTACCATATCCACTGTAGTTGCTGTGCGTCATACGTAGGGGAAACTCAAGTCCCTCTAAACAAACGGGTGGACCAACACAAACCTACACCCTCCAACAGTGGTAACCTTTATATTATTAAACTTACTAAACCATAAATGGAATCAAATAGTAAATTTTCCAAAAATTAAGACACCACATATTCAAATTACTGGGCGGTTAAATTGTTTAAAACTTTATTACTAAACCTAATATGATATGATTATAATGTCACTCTGAGTTAACCTAACGTTCTTATATCATTACAATAACATTAAAAACTTACTCCAAGTAGACTTATAAAAACATTAAAGTTATCTTTGTCACCTGTCTATATAGCTCATTAATTAGTGATATTGTTGATTGTACATATATATATATATATATATTTCATCCATGATATGTCTTGTCTACGATATCACCTTAGGTGGAAGTGGACGTAAAACTCTAGAAACGAACGAACGATGATATGTCTCATTTGTACATGGGGTATTTGCTTGAAAACGACTTGTGAAATCTAGTTGAAACGTTGCAGTACAATAAACCAAGTGATTGTATCCATATTAAGTGTTCTAGTATTCTATCATAAATCAATTGCTAAATGCCTCTCAAGGAATATATTTATAATCCATTCCATGGAAATCTATTATTCTACGAATGTATATATGTATGGTTAAGAATTTAATTTTTGTATACATTATCAATATCTTAAGACGCCAATAGAGATACATTATTAATATCTGAAGTTGCCTATAGAGGGCAGACAGCTAGCTTACATCATTTAATGTATGTCAGAATGAAGTAAAGTGATGGGACGAAAAACCGAGGTCCCGTGTATACATTGGCATGCAGTTGGAATTCGATATATGAGTAGGCCATAGTGCCGCTGCCCGGGCAAAATTTCCCTCATAGGACACTGTTTCTCCAGTTTTTATATAGTGATTTATATACAAATGTATTGATGCATTGATTTATTTAATTAATTCTAGATACATGCTGATTATAATATGTACGTATCTTTCTTTTTAACAGGCACTACATTTTGATCGTGATGATATAGCATTACCAGGATTTCACAGATTCTTTAAAAAGCAGTCGGATGAAGAGAGAGAACATGCTGAAATTCTCATGAAATATCAAAATACTCGTGGTGGAAGAATTGTTTTACACGATATTAAGGTATTGCCAAATTTTTCCTTTGATTGTTATGTATACGGTACAGGACGCTGTTGTTGTTTAAGGCAGGATTGGGAGTGTAGCGTTTGCATGGACTAGAAAGAAGTGAGCATGAGCAGTCACTGATTATAGAGTTAATTATGACACATATTCTACATGAAGCTACATGTACATACATTTATATTTTCACCCATCTTTGTGTTCAGATATATTATGCAAACCCTGAACCTATTACAGGTCGTTTTTAAACGCTTACATTTTCATGTGGACGTATATTGTTGTTGCCCCTGTTCGTCCGTCCGTCCGTCCACAATTTGTTTGTGGACACTCTACAGGTCACAATTTTTATCCGATTTTGACGAAACTTGAAATATAGCCCTACATGTATCTCCCAAAGATCTTGGTTACTGTCGATATTGGCATGTATTGGACCATAACTTCATGGATTATGGCCCCTGATTGTACGAAAAATCACATCTTTAGCTTGTGGACACCCTAGAGATCACAATTTTCATCTCATTTTGATGAAACTTGAAACGTATGTTTATAACCCAAAGATCTTAGTTCCTTTCGATATTCGCGCATATTGGACCGTAACTTCCTGAATTATGGCCCCTGATTGTATGAAAAATCGCGATTGAGCTTCTGGTCCCTCTAGAAGTCACCGTTATTATCCGATTTAAAAAAACGTTCAAATATATCACCGTAATGTTGATTGAGTTCGAATTTTGTAAAAATCAGACCAAAACTGCCAGACAAAATGGCCGCCCCTCGTATGCAAATAGTGTAAACATATGGTATTACCTTAAGAGGGCACAGTATTGATCCGATTTTGATGAAACTTGGAATACATGTTTATAACACAAAGAGCCTAGTTCCGTTCGATACTTGTAACTTCCTGAATCTGATTTCTACGATCAGTATCTTTGCTTGTTGCTAGCACACTACATTCAGATACCATATTTTTTGTACAGAAATATCTGCTATGTAGTCATGATGATAACGTGATATTACGACGATAGTGGTGTTGTCATAAAAAATACAGATATAAATAATATATTTGTCTAATTGTAGAAACCTGAAAGAGATGAATGGGGTGTTGGATTAGATGCTATGCAGATATCTCTAGATTTAGAGAAGAAAGTTAACCAATCTCTGCTTGATCTACATAAAATAGCTCAAAACAATGGAGATGTTTCGGTAATTATTCAAATTGTTGAACTGAATAATTCACTATTCAGCCTCTGAATTGTGCATACCAGAGACTGAAGCCAGTAGTGGCAGTTACATAACAAAATCGGCCAATTTGGACACACACGAAAAATAGATGTTACGACCATTATTAAAATCCATATTTCTTTGTTGTAAATACATAATTAATCAATCTTTTCCATTTTTACACCCACCTCTGTGTTATAACATCGTGCAATGTTGGATTTTTTAACATTTTATTCCCGTCTTCATTAGCCCAGTCGGAGTAGAACATTAAACCCCATTTCATTTCAAAGTAATATTGCAATTAGGAAAAAAGGTCAATCAATCAAATCAAAACTTATTAAAATCCAACATGGCAGAATGGTTAGCACTTACACGCTGTGTCATAAGGTCTGTCATTGAGTCAACTGGCGTGGTTTGGATTCCCCGGTTGTATGTGACAAGGAGTAGTGTCGCCTTTCCAACCTCGTGGGTTTCCTCCGTTTTCTCCCACTGCTAAAAGACCCCTACGCGCAAGCGAGTTATTGAAATAAAAATTGAACCATATGTTAGTCCCGAAATGACCTAGTTTGTGTCGAGTGGACGTTGAACCCCATTTCTCTCTCACTTCCATCACGTGCATGTTAAGTGCAATAATTTGATTTTTTTCACTTTTTCATCAACCAACTGACAATGACTTTTATTTTTACAGATGGGAGATTTTCTAGAAGGAACATTTTTAGCTGAGCAAGTAGAATCTATTAAACAGATCTCAGATTATGTATCAAGTTTAAAACGGGTTGCACCTGGTCTCGGAGAATATATGTTTGATAAAGAAACATTGGGTGAAAAATAAAATAAAAATGTGCAATCTTTGAGTGATCTCATTTAAAGGGGAACTGAATTAACTGAATTGATATGGATGCATTCATGGGACCCAATATGAAATAGTTCATTCAATACAATATCTGATATTTGGTAGATTACTGGTACATGTAACTTGGTACAGACAACTTCTAAGAAAAAGATTATTTCTTTTTACAATACCAGATATTTACAATACAAACATTTATGAAACATTCCTTAAATTAATTTGTAGTCCTAGGCAATATATGTAATATTCAAAGCCGATTTCAGTTCATTTAATTCAGTTTGCTTTTGAAGTGTAACAGTACCGTATATGAAATGATAACTTGTAATTTGCGAGTGAAAATGAAAGAAATGATTGCAGCCAAGGGCTAATTAGTGATGTATTGAATAATATATAAATATTGTCTTATTTTTTAAAAATTTTGATTGCAATTTATTTGATAGTAATATTTTTGTGATTGTTAATGTACTTATTGTTTGTATATCTGATGTTGGATAACTACTGCCAGCGGTAATGTAAATCTAACAATATTTGAAACATACCGGTATATAATGAATTAATACTTGTTTTTTCTCAGGGGATTGAGGACCAATTTAATCATACTGCATCTCATTTTGATCTGATAGAAATGCATTTAAATATATGTTAAATGCTTTTGCCATAGAACTGAAAACATTTTAATATTTATAAATTTTAAGTCTGTATTTTTCTCAGGGATTGGGAATCTTGATTATTTGTATGAGAATATAAATCAATAAATGAAGTATGATTTCATGAATGTTTAAATTTTCATTTATTTGTCTGAGAATTGAAGTCAATAAAGTATGGTTAAACTTCTCAGTTATTTGAAAACCAATGTGCTTAATTTTTTTTTTTAAATGCATTAGTAAAAATAGAAATTGGATTTAACGTCCACTCAACGCAAACTAGGTCATTTTTATTTCAATAATTTGCTTGCACGTAAGGACCTGGAGGAAATCCATGATATTGGACTGGAAACCCTACTCCTTGTCACAAGTGGGGAATCAAAACCACGCCTCATGACTAAATGATGGACCTTATGATCCAACGTGCACACATTAAACCATTCAGCAACCCAACCCCTCTAAATGCAAAAAGTACAACACAAGTTTGTGCCAGGTGTTTAGGAAGAATAACCACACCATGTCACTTACACAACATGCATCACTTTCAATAGCTAACTGAACAATTATTTTTTTGGACCTGGATTACAGAAGCCAATGTCTACTAGGTTTAAGATAACCACAGATGGGGGTCATTTTTTAACAATATTCTTACTAATAATTAAAGAAACCATTTGTGATGTCTTCAATGCCACCATGATGTCCTTCATTTGATAAGTCAATCACAATATTGTTCATTTTTTGATATCCTTCATTTGATAAGTCAATCACAATATTGTTCATTTTGCATTTAAAAAATAACAGTTCATGGGTTGTCCTCAGTAACTAATGGTGGTACTTTAACCTGTGACATTTAGTAAAGATGTGTTGACAGGCAATGAAAAATACGCCCACAGCAGCTAAGTTGTCCGGGCAGTCAACAAGTGTTGTCGCATATTTTTTTTCTTTTGTCAGTAATGAGAACATTTACAACACATGAAAATCTGATTACGAGTAATAACCCTTGAAGTAATTATCTGAAACGATTAGAATTTGTTTCGATTGTTTGTCTCATGACCTTAAACAATTTATATTAACTTTAGCCTCTAAAGTGTACACAAGATTTTTCAAAGTAATCAAGGCCTTAACTCTAGCAGTAATGCGTTTCATGACCTAAAACACAGTGTATAAATTTAAAGTCAATCGGATATTAACTTTAACCTCTAGAGTGTCAACAAGATATTTCAACATGATCAAGAACTATAACTCTGGCAGTAACTCTGGCAAATCAACAGACTTCTTCATATCAAGACCTTAAACACTGTGTATAAATTTCAAGTCAATCGAATATTAACTTCAGAATCTAGAGCGTCCACAAGATATTTCAAAGTGATCAAGGGCTATAACTCTGGCAGTAATTATCAGAAATCATTGAAAATCAATTGGCTTCTTCGTCTCATGACCTTAAACACTGCATAAATTTAAAGTCAATCGGATATTAACTTTAGCCTCTAGAGCGTCCACCAGCAGTTGTGGACAACGGGACGGACAGAGTCGATGACAATATACAACCACATTTCAATGTGGGCATATAAAAACCCATGTGCCCTTATGGCTCGACTGATATGCAGCCATCTAATTCATGAGGAGAGCTATGCTAACAGGTTACACATACCGGTAGCAAAAACTGAAACAGTACTAATTTAAAAGAATCATTTTTACTAGAAAAAAATTAACGATTTACAAGGTTTTTAAATTTAGTTTCACGGAGCAAAAACTGAAACAGTACCATTTAATACAATCGTTTTTACTAGAAAAAAATAATTTATTTACACAATTATGGAAATAAATAAAATGTATAAATATTCAAATAAAAGGAATAGATTTGGCAGAATGGGAAGAATTCTTTGGTTACCAGTATATCAAATGCCATGGTGGTAATGATTAAGTGTGATAAGTGTTAGATAAGAAATATTCACCTCTAACTGATACAGCTGCTTGAGACTAGAATAAGAAAAGTCGTCAAGATTAAAGATGCATTACGTAGGTGCAAAATCTGACTCTTTCTGGCTCCAAATTTCATATAAATTATCATTTAGACATTAATTCACTTGGTAAGCCTAAATTAATTTAAATTAATTTAAACACCTGCGAGATTTAACCAGCGGTTGCCATGCAAGATATGCCCATGTTTTGCAAGAGATGGTTATAGAACTAGCTACCCCCCCCCCCCCCAATTTTTAGTACGATTAGGGGCCATAATTAAGGAAATTATGGTCTGAAATGTGCGAAGATAGAAAGGAACTGAGATCTTTGGGACATAAACATATATTTTAAGTTTCATCAAAATTGGACAAAGATTATGCCCTCTAGAGGGTCCACAACTTTCGTATTATATACTTTTACACTATTTGCATACAAGAAGCAGCCATTTTGTCAGGCAGTTTCATTTCAATTTTCCCGAAATTCAAACTCAACCTTCACTATGGTACAACCGTGATATATTTTAACGGTTTTTAAAATCAGATAAAAATTGTAAACTCTAGAAGGTCCATAAAATGTCATTTTTCATACAATCAGGGGACACAATCCTGGCAGTTATGGTCTGATATGATAGAACATAGAAAGGAACCAAGATATATGGGATATAAACCTATATTTTATGTTTCATCAAAATCGGATAAAAATTGTGACCTTTAGAGAGTCCACAAGCTTGATATTACATACTTTTAAACTTTCTGCATTCAATGAGAGGCCATTTTGTCGGGTAGTTTCGGTCCGATTTTTACGAAATTCGAACACAACCATCATTATGGTGTAACAGTGATATAGTCAAACATTTTTTTAAATCGGATAAACATTGTGACCTCTAGAGGGACCACAAGCAATAAACATGATTTTTTGTACAATCAGGGGCCATAATCCAGGAAATTACAGTCCAATATGCACGAATATCAAACGGAACCGAGATAAAAATTGTGACCTTAAGAGTGTCCACAAGCTAAAAACATGATTTTTTGTACAATCAGGGGCCATAATCCAGGAATGTAATAATAATAATAATAATGGATTCGTATAGCACCTCGTATCCAAAAAGTTTGCTCACTGGCGCTGAGTTAGTCTGTCACATTTACGACAGTTTTCCATCATCTGCACTGAATAGGTGTGTTTTTAGCAAGGATTTGAATGTACACAATGATTTCGCAAGAGCTTTTGGAGATAAACCTATATTTCAAGTTTCATCAAAATTGGATAAAAATTGTGACCTGTAGGGTGTCCACAAAAACATTGAGGATGGACGGATGGACAGGGGAGACAATGATATACGTCCACATGAAAATGTGGGCAGATAAAAATTTAATGATAAAATGGATAATCGAGGCTTAGTCTCATTTGTCAAGTTGCTATGATAATAAATGATCTGTGATATGTTTTCAAACAGTTATAACTTCGCCCAGATGTAATTTGAATTAAAATTTCACTAAATTTATTTTTCATTTTGAAATATAATAGTATTAATAGCGGGGATGGCCAGCCATTTATCTAAATCTCACATAATGCATCTTTAAATGAAGGCGCACTCAAGGATACATCTAATCGAAAGTCTCAAGTTGTAGTTAAAACAAGTCAAAGGTAGTTCTTTTCACACTTGACATTGTAAAGGTGAGGGAATATGTGAGGAATCAAAAGATCTTAAATTAAACTTATATAATGCCCAGTGATGACTAAATATTTAATTTTTAATGTTTTACAAATTTGATTAATAGAAATACCTAGCTAAAACTGTATACCGTAATAAATATAATTTTCTAAATAATTAGCAATACAATATTATAATTATGGCAGGTCTATAAGATATACTTGCATTTTACAATAATAACATTGATGTAACAAAACAGTTTCATTATATACATACAACACACTTACATGATTAGATAATACCCTATTTTCCAATATTAGTATAATTCTTAAAGTTACTGATTGTAATGTGAGGTTTGTTGAATCCCTTACAAATTACACTATTGTTTTAAGCTGAATCACTAAAAAGGATATCGGTTCAAAAATTCTGTGAAGTATTTTCAAAGATGTGATGAATTGAAAATTTCCAAATATTCGGCATCCACTGCATGATGACATAAACAAACCAGCAAAACAAGTAAAATTCTTTTGACAGGTCTCTATTGAATCCAATTGAACCAAGACTGCAGATTATCAACCATTGATATTTTTGTTTTGTTTTCTTAACCATGCATTATGCAAGAGCTAAATCTGGTTATTGCAAGTCTTTCTATAGGCCTGAAATGTTCACTAAGTTATTAATTAGACGTTAATAAACTTATCCAGAGCATAAATAATCAACTCTCGATGCCATCGTCAGTCTGCGATATTTAATTGAATATATTTTGTGATGTATAATTTAACGTAAAAATGGATAATCAAGACTTTGTTTTTTATTGTACCAACGTTAGTAATGACGATCAAGAGGAGAATAAAACTGAATCACTAATTGAAGCAATTTGACTGAAATTTTCAGCAAATTCTGTTTTCATTATCCGTTTTTTAACTATTATGATGAGAACTGTCAGCTCTTTATATAATCTTACCTAATGTCCCTTTAATTTAATGTTAAATAATCATTTTGTGTACATTGTAAAATGGATAAAGCTGTAAAAAACTACATGTCTAAAAGATGCAAATGGATCAGTGACTTTAAATGTCAAAAATAAAAAAATAATAATGAACAATTAATTGTAGTAGTCATAACTTTCTGTCAATAAACAATCCGTGACGTCATTTTATTCCTTCTGCTCACTTTGTGGTCTATATTTCTATGAGCAGAAGGACTAAAATGACATCACGGATTGTCTATTGACAAAAAGTTACGACTACCCACGGAGAACGGCAGATATTACTAACATTGAAATTTACCTGTTGCAGGTAATATTGACATTCAGGTTCATGTTATACTTATGGAACGGATAAGTTGACATAATTATTTGCATTATTTAAAAAACGTATGAAGCTTTTCCGTTGACCTTTAAATTGTCTAAACCCATTAACAATTTCAAGGTTTATTTTTAAGCTTGAATCTTCTCCATGCCTTTTGTATAACACTGGCTGATTTCTGTGCTTTTCTGATCCGTAAAATTCTGTTTTTCTCAATCTGGGCTTTTGAT